TTCCTTTAGTTAACAATAATAAAGAATATGGAGTGCCGATAGTAAACGTCTAAACTCACACTATTTACTAGTGATAAGTAGTATGACGTTTACCACTAAGAGAAAAAGTGATAAAGGCCCTGTAAGAAATGAATTAACAACAACTTCCTTTACTAAACCAAGCAAAAAAGTACTTGATGCATCTAATGAGACCCATTCCTCAATAGACTTTCCATGCATCTGGCTCTGTATGGAACCGGAAAAATGAGGTGACAGTCTCTTAACGTCGAGGCATATTTGTGAGTGTTGGTAGCAAAGTGTTTTTCTTATTGATCGCACCAAACTGCTAATCTCATCTCTGTTTTAAATCTTAGTACAAATTCTTCTTTGGTAAGTTCTCTTAGTATGAAGCCTTTACGTTTGGTTTACCAATAGTGGTGCGTGAATTCAGTACCAAATTTTATTTTGGTTGTCTAGTTTCCTCATCAGCACTGTCTTCGACATGAATTCTCCGGACATGTGTAGATACAGGATGGACGTTATCCATTTTTCTAAATGTGAGCACAATTGTGTAAGGGTCATTTAGTTTCTCAGTCTGTGTAGATTTTCTGTGTATTTCTCTTCTTAACAATCCATCAACTCTCCCTGTTAGTGGAACGCATTATGTTATTATATTCTAGCGTTTCATTTTATTTATATATTTTAAACGACATTAGGTCGTTCGTCTTGTTTTCATTCTTCTCGTAACTAACGCGACAAAAATTTATGCATTTATTACACTTCTCATTTCAAAATGTGCTTTTAACTAAATTAACTTCATATTTATTGATTCACATCTCTATCTTACTTTGTTTTGGCTTGCGTAGTAGAGTAATTTTATTTCTTGTTACACATGGCGATCCAGAATATTCTAATTACAGTTGACATTTTTAGCAAACTTTACTACTTATAATGATATCAGCGTATTCATACAACTCTCAGATTTTGTTTATGTAAATCTAATACTGAATGCAACTGGATTTTATCGGTAATTATCAATGTTAGTGAACACTGAATGGACAGCATATCGTTTATTTATTCAAACTGACCTCCGTTTGGTGGGAAACAACAATAGTACATGTTGTCTAACCGTACGCTTTGTTGGTAGAAGACTGGAACCATCAGAAGTATTATTGTTGACATTCATGAAATAGACAGTCTTCGTATTTCCATTCCTTTTTCTGACATTCTAGCATCGGTTATCGCACACAGTATTCTTAGGCACCGATTAGTCTTCTGGAGTTAGCGATAGGTTCAGGATCTTTTCTGATCTAGAAAACTGACAGTAATAATAATATCCAGTATCGATGTTGTGTCATCCCTGTAGCACTTGTTTTGCTTAAAGTTGATGAACAAGGACTCAGTGACAAATTTTTCCTCCTACCTTTTATAACACCAGTTCAGCCTTACCGTATTGTGTGATTGTGTCTTAGCGCACGCATTGTGACAGCTAAGATTTTTCCTAAGTTAGTCATTTTTTAATGGTTTTTCGTCCTACACTCCAACATCAAACGCCATTCAGCATCAACAAAAGGAATTTAAAGGAAGTAGTCTCTTTCACTTACTTGAACTGAGCAGGATCATTCCAATTACAGGGGCACAGATGAAGATATCAAAGCTAACCAGAATCGGAAATCAGTGTAGATATCTACAGTATTCATCACTTAGCTTAGGGAAAGTGATCCAAATTTTCAGGATCATTATCAAGTCAATGCTTCTAATGTTTCCGTAAGCATTTCCAACAGGCTGCACACCTTCATTAAAACGTGCCTTCTCTGACTCAATACTGATAGGAGATGGCCGGCTGGTAAACTCGAGAGAATAAGCAACAAAGAACTCCGGTAGGTAGTCAAACAAATACGGAGAATGAAATGAAGATGGACTGGATATGTGCTGAGGATACATTTGATTGATATCACACGCCAGCCAGATCATCTAGTGAAACGTAGATGAGAATCGATGTGTTAGGTATGGGTTCAAGTGCAACATAGTGAAATCATGTAAGGAGGAAATGAAATCTTGCGTGTAGTCATGAAGCCAGCCCAAAATAATCGCAGAGGGTCGAGTGGAATGGATGTGTAACGCTGAAGCTGTATGTTCCACTCAGAACGCAAAGAATGAAAAGTAATAATAATAATATAACCTAACCAATCCTGATCTGTAGGAATAATCTGTGCTCTTGACCTCATATTCACAGTAAGATATAATGTAGATTAGATTATTTTGCTTGGTTGAAAGTTTATCACTGAGTGAATTTGTTACTTTGAATACCACCTTAATACACATTCTTTTAACGATCTTGAGTAGAGTTTTGGGCGTTCTTTTCACATATGGAAACAGTGTATCTGCCTTAAATCCTATAAGTTATGTAAAGTTTAAATACCTATTAGGGTGCGATGGTATTATCCCAGATATATCGAACAATGCAGACGTACGAACTAGGCGCGTCTGTGTGACCTCATAATTGAGTGAGTTATTGACAGTGTTATTTGAACTACAGTTAGGTTAGAATGAAGAGACAATGATCCAGTTCACTAAACATTTTTTAACTCGGAGTTTAACTGGTGCATGGTGACTGGCTTTGGGATCCAGGATGCGCATTTCGTCCTATTTGGGACTCGTGGTCAGCTGGATGTACCTGCATTCCCCAGTGGGTGATGATATTCCCACCGAGGCTAGAAGCATCTGCACAAGAAGCCGACATGTCAATCTGAGACCAAGCACTTCGGTCCAATCAGTCGACGGAAAATCTAAAATTCAATTAAATAATTTTTTAACTTGGTCCATGCGGTTCTTTCGGAAAACAGTGATTTGCATTTAACGAAAGGTAGACGACACTTCATCACAATCTTAGATGACTATATCAATAATATCAAGAAGCCTCTCAATTTCTGTATTTCTCCAACTTCATCTTACCCCAAACGCTCCTTTTTAATGAGCTAAACTCTATCTATTCTTTATATAATTTGTATTTAAAAACCTTGAAATCTTTCAAATACATAAAATTTCAAGCATGGTATATATTGTCAAGTCTAATAAGAAAAACTGAAATTCGAGTAGTTAAATGACTTGAATTAAGTCTTATAATCCCCTTTGTGCGTTAATAACGCTGTGATCCTGTGACAGTGTATATTTTAGAGGAGTCATGACATCACAGTAACTGCAGAAGCATATTAAACTTAGCAGAACAGTAGAGAGAACATTTCCTGCAGCTAATCTGGTACTCAACGTCTCAACTAAACCTGTACTCACACAACGAGTCAAGGATAAATTACCAAAGATGGTCTCATCAATGTGTATCTATGAATTCAACTGCTCATCTGGAGCTAGTTACATTGGTCGTACTCAGAGGGCTTTATTCATGCGCTCACATGAACATGCACCTGTATGGTTGAGTAAAGGGGTAACCAAATACGTAAATAGTGTAGTCTTAGCCCACTTGGCAGATACTGGAAGCTCGGTAAAACATGACCAGGCATCCACCGTTTTTTTATCGCGTTCTTAGTAATATGTATCTAGAGGAGCTCGACTACATCTGCTTTCAGTAGCTGAAGCGGTTGCAATCAATACCAGAAGACCGACTCTTTGTATACAGAACAAGTATGTTCAACCGCTATGTTTACCCTAGGCCCCTAATGCCAACAAATCTTCCGTAAACATTAGCACTTTAAATTCCTATCACAATTTTCCTTTCTTCTTCTTCTGCTTTTCCTTTGTTTCACTGACAAACTTTCATTTCTGAGCTTTTACGATTTCATGACCTTTCTTACGATTTCTGTTACCTTAAGTTTAAGTAGCGCTTTTCTAACTTGTTATCATATTTACAAAATCCTGTTCATTTCACTTCACTAAATTCACTATCATTATTTGATAATCATTCACCAGTAGTACATTTAAGTTTACATGACATCCATTATAATAAGGGTTTTCTGTATTTCCCAATGAATGAAAAACAAAACGATATTGCTGCTTTTACTGACATTTCGCCATTTACTGCTGCTAATAGCTTTATCGAAGCCTTGTTAAACCAGAATTTACAAAATCTCAGCTTATACACAGCAACTCAATCATCTTTCAGCAGCATTGGGTAATATTTACGTTTTCAGGTTGGGCAGTTGGTAAAGATAACAGAACCAGGTGTAGGTAAATGGATTTGATAACTGTGTAAAGTGACATAAGCAGCGTGTGTTTACATAATGAAACTGTTTATGACATTCGTGTTGATTTTGTCATTTCATGGGGTTGAGGGGGTGTTGTAACCAATTCAAATGCTTTTTCAGTTCATCATTTCTAGTCAGACAATTTGGATTCCATTTGATATGAAGTGCTTCAGATTCTAGATGTTCTTTGTGATTTCTGATATTTTTCTGGATTATTTCAATATTGTGACCCAATTCTATAGTGTGAAGACCTGTGGTTGACGATTTTTCAAGCTTTTCTAGTCCATCTGGATTTCTCGGTGGTCGAACAGAATTCCTACGGTGTTCGTTTCTTCTAATATCGATTTCTGGCGGTGTTTGTCGATGTATATCGCATCACATTCCAAGCATTTTATTTTGTTGCCACAATTAGATAGAGAATCCTTAGGGATTTGGTCTTTTATATAGACAAGGTTGATTCTTAGTGTGTCTGATGTTTTGAAGAAAACTATTAGCGCTAAAATAGCGAAACGTTAGAAGAAACAATATCGTTTTGTTTTTCATTCATTGAGAAATACAAAAAAAACAACCTTTATTATAATGAATATCTTATACCCAATGGCCAATTATTTTTTCAAACTGTTGAAAGTGAACTTAGTTTGGACATATATAACCGCTAAACTTTTGTCAACTTTCTTTTCGTGATGTTAAGCATAAAAATGAAAAATATGTATAGGTTTTTCTTTTTTTTTGAAATTATGAAGACAGTATTATTTTAAACAACAATGAATACCAGTTTCTATAACAACACATGTATCTTAATGAACAAGATGTAGAAAGAAAGCTGTTATCAACATCACGAAATTATTAACTTTAGTTCATTGTTCAGCATGTCTTCAATATGAGATTACTAGCTAGAAATAATAAAAAGCGGAATAGAGGTTTATTGACAAGCTAATTTTAATTTTGTAGATTTAATTCGGTTTATAACCAAAAAAAACAAAACAAAAGTAATAGAACATGTTAGTTAGTTGGTTAGTTGGTTGGTTAGTTAGTTAGTTAGATAAATATAACTGATAGAGAGGATAAAGGTAACTACTGAAAAAACAGAAGTTTATTTGCTCATATGTTTAATTTTAATTAAGTTTATTTTCAATAAAACTAATACGAACTCAGCATTTTGAGGCAATTAAGGAATTTAAGAATTTAATGATATTTAGCAGAAGTAGGGAAGAAAAAAAGTATCTAAATAAATGATTAAATAGTTTGATGAAAGCTCTCTTTCAATCAAATCAGTCATAGAGATATGTATTAATTAAATTACCAACACTATGGACGAAGGAAAGAATGATAGAGAGAGACAGACAATTCCTTCACACGCACACACCTACCGACATACACCGAAAATCCATAAATGTAGAATATAAAACACTGTTAACCCAGTATCGAAATGTGGCTACGAAAATTTACTATTATCCCAAGTATTACATCATAATAGTTGTTGAGCATTCAGCGTTGATATTTGATTTTGATGAATACTTACTTCATTGGCCATAGAGTCTATGAAACAGAACATCGACTATCACGTTTTAATTTCAAGTATTCTGGGTCGAACAAGTGATTTCCATCGCCTAAATAACGCATTTTGTAGTCTTTTGCACGTTGTTCCACTACAGATATTGGCAGACTGTAAGCCATTACTTTACGTTTCCCATGAATAAGAACCTAAAGAATGTAATAAAATAATAATAATTATGGTTTAATTCTTGATAATTCACTTATAAATCAATTATCAGTAGAAGGTTTACTTCACACAAAGAATTTACAAGTATATTGTCATTGAAATTTGATAAAATATTGTTTGATCTGAAGCGGTCGGCAACCCCTTTATATATTAAAGTTTTATCCACTTCTAAAAATATTTATAAATATACCTTAGTAAAGAATATTATTTGAAGAAGTAGTTGGATCATTAGAACAGTATGAAACGGAGTAAACTCAGTATTTCTGGCGGAGAGAAGATTTAGTAGCTCATTGATCTAAGCTAAGCTAGCAGTCTAAATAAAAAATGTGTAAAGTGACGTTATTTGCATATATTTAATGTAAGCAGTAGGCTATATCTTTCAGCAATAAATACCTGAAAGAAGGTAAGAAAGAATGGTTACATAGTGTTGTTCTCACTAACGGAGCTGCTATAATTCCTCGTATTTTCAAGCACATGCTGAGGTCATGAAAAAAGAAGAGACTATTGAAGCAATGATTGGGTGTCTTGGTTGATAATAGGATAGAAAGTATTTAATTTTGATACATTCGTTCCATTTTCATAGACAAAGTGTTATTTCTTTCGTTCATTTATCACTAGGAAAATAAACAGACATTACACTATCCACTCCTAGACTGTATAGATAAATTTAGCCGTATTTTGATGATGCTAGGAAATTCCTGATTGTAATCGACCTACAAATGAAATTATTTATATAGTTGATTTGTAAGGATCAGTTTTGTTTTTTAAGAGTTGATCATGGATTGATCAAACCAACTATAGAAAATTTATCTGATGCTGCTCGCTAGTAACTTGCTAGACGATGAAGTTTCCTGGAGTTCTAGTGAGAAGTTGTGACCAGTGAGGTGCAACCAGTCAAGTGTGAGGATGGATTTCCCACCGATAACATTGGTTGGTGGTCACTCTAAATCACGAAATAGTAGAAGTTAGAATTTATGGGCTAACTAGCGAATCAGGTCGCAGTGGCTGAATGGTATACAAGCTTGCCTTGTAGCTGGATTGTCCTTGGTTCGAACCTCAGTGGGTGCGCACTGTTGACGATTCCCAAGCACTAGGATGAAACAGCTGTCCCTGGTTCTCTAATCCGTAGAAACGAAATTGCTTATAATTATATTTCAGTAGTTGACACACAATAATAAGATTTTCGTTTTGTTAATATTTCGAGCAAAATTACTGTCCGTGACCACGACAGCTGTCGGAATTGTTTTGTTTTCAGTTTATACATTTATGATTCGTAATTATACATATAGTTCATTTTTTGTTCGTTCATTTCTGCGTATCCAGAATTACATTCCAGGTTGCTGACAGTTGTTCTGAGTCACCCTGGTTTCATGTATATGGTATAATCTCAATGAATATAGATTCTGTTATTAGTCTTTCTTTCCATTTGTTCATATTAGATTTCAGAATAAAAATGTTGTCCCAATCAATCTAGTAGTTCTCATCCCTTGAATGTGCAACCATAGACGATTTTTTTCTTAAAAATCGCTGTATGCTTGTGTTCCTGTGGGATGACCTTTAGTTTAACGCATATGCTAATTCAATATTAGTTTGAGTAATCTAGATGTTTGACCCATATATATATATATATATATATATATATATATAGTCAAGTATTCTGTACAGGATACTTTGCAAATTACGTTACTTTTATCCATTATTTTTATTGAGACTTTTAGTTGACTTATTTTACTTCTAATTAGATTATTCGGTTCAAAACGTGATACGAATCCGGATATATTTTAGGTTTCTTCGAACGGCCTCTGATGTACTAATTTTGTGTGCTGAGACTAATCAGAGAATATATTTATGATTAAAAATTATAAATGTGTGATTTGAAAAACAATTCCAGCAGGCGGTGTGATCACAGGCAGTAATTTTGCTCGAAATATGACCTAAACGAACCTTATTGGTATCTGCTTTAGATATTCAAAAATACAGTAAAAGCCTAGTTCGGTAATCATCCGCAGTACGCATCCACCACCAGGGTTCGAACCCAGGACCTTCCGGCTACAAGGCAAGTTCGTGTACCATTCAGCCACTAGGACCCAATTCAGTGACCAGCCCATGAATTCTAACTTCTGCCAATTCATGATTTATCGCAACCACCCGAAGGTCCTGGGATCGAACACCAGTGGGTGAGTACTGTTGAGGGTTACCAAGCACTAGGTTGAAACAGCTGTCCAGTACTTTTAGCTGGTTTTCAATGGTTCTCTAACTGATATCAATCCGTGATCAAATTTGAAACAAATCAAGTCCCTAAAATCTGACTCTTGAATAATAATAATATCTTCGGAATGTGAAGTGATCTGGCTGACCATTCAGCTACTAGGACTAGATGCAGTGGCCTAAGAATTTCAAATTCTGTTAATTCTTGGTAAAAAGAGCAACCGCTAGCCAATGTCATCGGCGTGTATTTGCCTCCCATACCCGACTTGGTTGACACCTCTGGTCACAACTTCTCACTAGAACCCTAGGGACTTCATCGTACAGTCAGTCATCAGGAAGCATTAGATTAGTTTACAAGTGTCGATTTGCTGGAATTTGGTTGATTTCAAGTTGCATCACAAACTGGCATCTTTTGTTGAGCCAAACTTGAGGTGAGAGTTCCCAACGGTTTTCTTTAGAGGTAACAGTAATCGAATCATAATATGTAAACTGCTTGATACCATAAATGACAATCTAGAAAGCAAGTGAAACAGCGTGATACCACATATTACTGATTAATTTATATGAGTAGTTAGAAACCAGTCACGTCACCTTCTGGCCATTTCGAAATGATGCACATGCTACCTAGCAAACACACCAAAATTTGTATGTTCCTTTATTTTTGAACTGATACATACTTTCCGATTACATGAAATTAAAATAGGTAAGTTTGTTTGCTGATAAATATTCTTTCGCTTGTGTTATTTTATGTGGAAAGCACTGCTGCATGATGAAGAAGCTCCCATTTTTCTGATAAAGACGACGTTTTAAGTGAGTCTACTTAATGCTTTCGACGCAAGACGAAAAAAGTACAGACAAATGTCTAATATTTTTATGATTTTGATATCTGCTACTTTGTTAATTGTGCGTCGGTGGCACAGCAGTTAGGACGCTCGTCGACCATGCACATGGTCTGGGATTCGATCCCCGGCCGACGCACTCCTTTACGTCGTTAAGCCAGAAATAATGCTGGTAAAGAGGAAAGGTTAGGCATGAGGCTAACAACCCCTTCCTGTAAAAATAAACACTGCTACAGAAATTTCAAGCCACTAGCTTGAAACCCTATGTTCCACTGAGAACGTGAAGGAAAAGAAAAAATTTTGTTAGTTGAGTCACGATATCTGAAATATCCAAATCCAACAACAGTCACACAAAGCCCAGTCTTGTCGATAAGAGTAGGATTTCTTTAAGCACGCAAATTATTACAATAACGATATCTGTATGAAATTTAGCCATAATACAAGTATTAGTTAACTTACTCTGACGTAATAGGTGATCTTAAGTGCTTCTAAAGAGCTTTGTGGAACTGAATTAAGAGGTATGCTCATATTGATATGGCAACCAGCTCTACGTGCAGCTCTTGGTAATTCTTTGTATGTACTCTGTTGTAGCGTTCTCTGAGACTGTTCTGCTGAATTCAATGATTCACAAGATAAACGAAAATCTCGATATTGACTTGGTAAGTGCTGTGAATCAGCGAGTAATCTTGCACTTTCAACTTCAGCTGCTTCAGAAAACGGTAAAGGTAGGCGTTCAGTGAAAGCAACTTTTTCAGAATGTGCATCTATAAAAACATTCGGAGGATATTTCTTCAATTTATATAAAGCTTTTGTATCAGAAACTTTCAATCCAGGTATATGAAAGATACGAAGTAAATAGGCTTCAGCATAACGTAGACCAGTTGGATCATCTGTAAATATGTAAATGTTAATATCATCTGAATCCTGTAGAATTACACTGTCAAACTGAAAAAGAAAATGAAAAAAAGGAACTAGTTTGAAATGGGTTTACAGTGATGAAACATAAATTTAGAATAAAAATGTATATCTCTAAACAGCGGTGTCTTTTTGACATTGCCTCAGTTAAGTTGTGAAAAATAGGTTTTTCTTTGCAGAATAAGTCACAAATTAATGCTTTGTTTTTGTATCGCTGATCGTATAGATGAATACTATGTAGATTTATCAACTAAAGTTAATATTTTATCCTTAGATTCATGAAATTCAATTTTATCAATCAAATCACAGGTAACCCTTAAGGAAAATTTTCTTTACCCACGAAGTCATCTTCATATATTTGCATTTTTGATTGGACACTAACTAAGTGTCATGTGTCTAGTCCTTTGTTTACTGCAGACTGAATTCTGTCAGTCAAAGTTGCAATGTGGCCACCGTGTTAGGTGGCTGACGAGTGCCAACAAGAACGGAACCTAGGTCGAAGGATTCCTGCTGATTGACTCCAACCATCTAATAACAACAGTTCTGAGGGTACCGTGAATGCGAGTCACCTAGCATGGTGTCCACACTGCAAACTTGACTGATAGAATTCAGTCTGCAGTTAAAAAGTGACTATTTTTTTGATTTTTTGATTATAGCTTGAAACCACACAGTATTTTTGGTACCAGTATGGAATTTTCAGCATGTGATATCGGTAGCCCAAATTTTGCAGGCCAACCATTGATATCGGGTGTGCGCCGGCAGGGCATCGAACTCCAGACCATGTGTATGGTTGACGAGAGTCCTAACCGCTGTGCCACCGACGCACATGACATTAGTTAATGTCCAATCAAATGTATCTAATGCAGTCCTGCAGCAGGTCAGTCGCGAGTGCGGATAGCTCAGTGGTAAAGTCTCTGACTGAAGCACTGGGTGACACGGCTTCGAATCTCAGAAGGGACATGAGTTGTTCCTTGAAGGTTGCAGATTCGCCCTGCTGACGAGTGCCGACAAGCACGAAACCTGGGCCTAAGGCTTCCTGAGTAACAGAGGTCTGTGATATAACTTCTATGGTTACTCAGAAATGGTTTCTTAAGACAGGAAGAAATTGTGTAATAATTATTGGACAGTGGCGGTAGAAATTATTAATTATATGGAAAACAAGATGGTTGAGTGTCTGCTTGATAGGTGTGAAGAAAATGAGAGAAATAAATCCCAGGTGATCAGATTGAATGACAACCTGTCTGAATTACTCTGATCAGTCGACGATTGTACCAATGGTACAAAATCTTCTTAATCTTAAAGATAAAAACTAGATCAGGTTTGTCTTTCTTCTGAAAGGGATGTAACTATGAATGTCCGCATATCAATCATCCCATGCTGCCTTTGATAAGGACATCCAAATGTCTTTTTCAAGAAAGCATCCAAAAGAAATGAAATTCAGGTTTGATCTCTGATTCCGATATAAACTTGTTAGAATGTTGGCAATTATTGAACTCCTTGATTATAACTTTGATGTTAGAACCTTTGTCACATGTAGTAATGATATCTTTCATGTCTCTGTTTGACATGTGAAAACTATCATTAGCGACTGGTAATGCGTTGTTTTCTGAACTTATACGAAGTGATTTCATTTTAACCGGTAAACTTTTTAAAAATGCCTCTCAGAATATGGCTTCTTTATTGGGACTTATTTGACACATTGTACATACAGTTCCAAAGGGACTGATGCACACTTTGCTGAATGGATTATTGAACCAAATTTCACATAAAGGTTTACTTTTCTAGGGTAAATGGTTTACTTTTGAGAAATGAGCTGTTCTCAAATGATTACTAGCAGTTTCTACATGCTTTCTGAAGATCAAATCTATGCAGATGATTTTTTAAAATTTACATTTCTACAGCTTTTATAATGCATTTATTTGTTTATCTTTAATTATACTATTATTTATTTTAATTTTCTAGTAGTGAAACTTTTTTGTTCTCAAGTTTCTTACTTTAAAAATAATCCATATTAGCTTAGTTGTCCATATGCATCTCTAAATGATGTAACACTGATTAACTCAGGCTGACGTTTCGATGTCTCACATGGTTCAGTTAGATAATTTGTTAAGCTAGTAATGAATGGATCACAGTCTTCGTTTTCATTTGCTTCAGTGAAATTAAATGCTGAGATGGTGCGAATCTCACAAAGTTTCAGTAACTTAGTTTCTATCTCAAGCTCACCTAAAGCACATTACAGGTCGTATGTGACTCAATTAAAAATGGATTGTTGACTCTGAAGTCACCTGACAATGAAATGGGTGTTTGTTAGCGTCTACTCTCTTCGAATCACACATCTCCTAAAGTGAACAAGAAGTCAGTAGTTTGAGAACTGTCCTAACCCACTTTAAAATTCACTGGTTCTTATCGGTGTGAAGGAACACAGATGTGAAAACTTTAGCCAGTATCTGGTATTGCATCTACTTATTAATTCCTCACCTTTCCGCCCTTTGTTATTCTTTCTTTTGTGTTAAACTTGATACTACTAATCAGCAGTCAGTAGTTTGTTACTCTATAACTAAGACTTTTGTATGCTATTGAAGTTTAACTGTTTTAATGTATTATTACTCCTTTTTTGATAAGTATTAATTATTTTCTTGCAGTTAAACAGTATCTGCTGTATATGCTTTATTTACATACCCTTCTCTGTTGAACATTAAAAAAATTCTAACCCAGTTATTCTTTGTCTGGTATTCGCGCGCTGTTTGAACTGACCATGGACCGCATTTGACGTAGCTTTGATGTTCTTCTTATTGACTCACAGTGACTGCTCATTTGGCAGTATTCAGCCGTAGATACATCACAACTTGAGGTTGATATATTACATTTTATTATTTTATGCTTAATGCAGTATCGTACTGTAGACAAATCGTGTATTTGAGATTTTAAGCGGAACTCAAACATGTGGTTTAACAAATCGATTAGATTATCTGACTGGATTTCTTAGAAGAAATCTACACCACTTTTGGGATTAATTTTCCTGCTGGTGTCTTCAGGTAATTCAGACGTTCTGATTTTTATCACTTTCAACAGACAGTTTAAGCACAGCACATGTTATTATTCGTTTGTCATATCAAGATTGTAAAATAAACTGACCACACCAGAGGTTTAGGCTTGTTTTTTGGCTGGCACACTTCCTTACCTTTTGTAGTTTGCTAGCCCTTTATAATCCCAGAAAATAGGCAAGGTTAGGTGCAAGGTTAGCTGACCAATCCCCTAAAAGGAATACCGCCACTAATGAAAATTCAAAGGTTGAAGCCCCATGCTCCACTCGAGACAGGAAAGTAATGAAAGGAAAGTGCTCAGTCTTTAGATTATTATTAATGTTCCTTTAGGCTCCTAGTGGAACATAGGGCTTCAACTGCATGTCTCCACTTGCTTCTCTCTTCTGCTGTACTTTTCACCTGCGTCCATGTAAGTCCATACTGTTCCAACTCCTCTTCACACGATCTCCTCCATGTCACCCTTGGACGTCCCGATCGCCGCTTCCCTTTCAGGTTCCACTCAAGCTATGGCCTGACGCGCAATGTCACCCAGCGGCCTCCTCAGCGAGTGAGTGTCCAATCCATCTCCACTTTCTCCTTCATATATATTGGGCGATTGGTTCCCATTTGTTCCCATAGTTTCTTGTTGGTGATTCTTTCCGGCCATCTGATCTTCAGTATAGAGCCAGCGAAGACAGTTGTTGATAAAGTTCTGCAACAGGCTGTGGGAAATATTCTTGGTGACCAGCCAAGTTTCTGATCCGTATAGAAGAACCGACTGACTTGACGTCGTTTGTATTGAAAATCCGTATTTTGTTGTTGATGCAGGCTGGGTGACGAAGATTTCCAGATTGCTTTCAGGTTGATGAATGTGTTTCTCGCCTTCCCGATTCTCGATTTGACATCCTCGTCTGTTCCTCCTTTAGTTGAGACAATGCTCCCTAGATAAGTGAAAGAAGTAACCTCTTTCAAATCCCTCCCGTTGATGGTGATTTGCACTGGATGTTGCTGTTGTTGTTGTTGGTTGTTTATTTTCATAGCCTCCGTCTTGTCTATGTTCACCTGGAGTCCTGTTTTTCTTTTTCTTCTTCTTCGACCAGTTTGTCGGTTTTCGCTTGTAAGTCTTCGATTTTGTGTGACATCAAACATAAATCATCCACGCGCGAAATCCAGGTCTTCTATGTTCTTCACGTCCGTCCAGGATATCCCTGTCTTCTCGTTTCCTACTGTCTGACGCATAATCCAGTCCACCACAATTAGGAATATCATTGGTGATAATAAGCACCCTTGTCTGACTCCTGTGTTTACTCCAAGCGCTTCGCTGAGTTTTCCATTGTGGATCACTTGACATGTGCCGTTGTCGGACGGCTGTTGAATAAGGTTGGTGAATATTTGGGGTACGCCGTAGTACTCGAGTAGTTTCCAAATTACTTCGCGGTCAACGCTGTCGAAGGCCTTCTCAAAGTCTATGAAGTTGAGGTAGAGGTTTGATTGCCATTCCATGCTTTGTTCGATGATGATGCGTAGAGCTGCAATTTGGTCAGAACATGATCTGCCTTTCCTGAATCCAGCTTGTTCTGGTCGGAGTTCTGTATCCAGTGCGTCCTTTATTCTCTCCAGGATGATGCGACTCAGAATTTTACTTGGCGTCGACAGGAGCATGATTCCTCTCCAGTTCTTGCAGAGTCCTAAGTCACCCTTCTTTGGTAGTTTCACTAGGTAACTTTTTCTCCAGTCAGTAGGCACCTTTCCCAGGCTTTAGATAGAATTTATAAATTCAAAGTTTGCGAAATATATTATGATAAGATTTGGAGGATCTATGGATTACCTTGGAGAAAGGTGAACTCTAACTTTCGTCAGCAATAATAAAATATCAAAACTACTGTATAAATAGTGTTTTATGGATTTGATGATTAGCGAAAACGTTATCGTAAGTGTTTTTCATCAATTCAAATACTTGCTTATGCTTCAGTTGCCCTTCATTTTTCTCACATTATGCATTATGCAATCCATTTGTTGTAACCGTTTCTACCCTTCGATTGTGTGTACTAATTTTCTTTGTGAATTATCACTCCCTTGACATGCTGATACTGACTAATTTTTCATTTCGTCTTTTAGATTTAATGTAGGGAAATAACAAATCGCACTACTTAATGCCTTCAATAAAATGCTTTTTTATAATTTCATGATAGATTTCATCATGAAAGCAAATCAGTTACAGAACTCATGAAAGCTGAACAAATTCTCAGAAATCAAAGTATTATGGTTACTATTAAAATTTAAAAGTTCTTCAAATATATAAGAAATATTATAAATAAAGGATACATTTTTAAAACCTACTTGTATCAACATTTGTCTATTTTCCATAGTAAATGTTTGCATAATTGCTGGCACGCGCTCACCATTAGGCAATTGATGATCAAGAGGACCACAGCTAAGCACTTTGAAATTTAAACCGTTAGAACTAATTGTCAGTGGATTGTCTTCATTTGCACGGTTCAGCCTCATAGTTGCGTAAATAAAGTACCTTGGGTAGGAGAGTAATGGAAAAAAGAACGATTTGAAAAAAAATAACAAACAACTAATAGTATGCATGATAATGTGATCGATATGCAAGGTGTAAAAGGACTGTGCAATAGTCTTAACTCCCTGACGTTTATTCTTTAATTCTATGTTGCTTTCGGGTAACTTACCAATTAACCGATTGGTATTTAGTGGAAAATTACATAGCTACTGTTAAGTGATTTAAGTAGTTAAACACAAAAGTTAATAAAAAGTAGGTTCTCACCTAATTTCTGTTATTTTATCAGAGAATTTTTGTGGTTCTAATGTATCGAATTCCACTTAGCTTAGAAGGTTAGGTTTTGTATACCTATTGAATCTAAAGATAAAGATTCATACGAACTCATAAAATGGAAGTTACTGGATTCTTGACACATTTCTTCTTGATTACTTTTGAAACAGTTAGTTCTGTTCTGATGATTTACACAGAATGAAACCATCTAGTGATATTGTGGATCATACTCCCTGTTATATGTTAACGGTAGTGTAAGTATTCAAGCTGTTTATGCATGGTTAGCTTAACTAGTTCTCAAAGATAAAAGTCAATCTGAACGAAGAATATTCTTTTCAATAATTGCACTTCAGGTTCTTACAATTATAAAATATAATATTTGTTGTCGTTACAATAATGACCAGCTATGCGGCGGATACATTTTTTAAGTAGAATAACAGATTACTTATGTAAAAAATGTATCCGCCGCATAACTGGCCATTATTGTAACGACAACAAATATTATATTTCATAATTGTAAGAACCTGAAGAGAAATTGTTGAAAAGAATATTGTCAATGGACATGAACATTGAACGTTTGTTTATTGGAACTGGCAGCCATTGTTGGGCAACTCGAAGGCGCAAATGGTACGATCGCGTGCAAGTTGGAAGACGGAAGAAAGAACACGAATAAAAGTACTTTATAACTTCATTTGTACTAGACATTTGTTTGTAGACTTCGTATTTTGTCTTGCTTTAATTGCCAAACAATAAAAATTCTTTCAATCGGATTTAAAGTTTGGACAATTACCTAGTCTTTATCGGTTCAAAGCGTCTTCGTTACAATAGGAACTTCGGGCTAAGTTTCTTGACAAATATTCTTCGTTCAGAGTGAATTTTAATTCATGATATGGGAATATTTCACATTATTAAATCCTAAAAATAGTTTAGACGTGTATAAATTTGTTTGAGAAACTCATTTTCCATCTTGTTGATCAAAACGTTTTTCAACAGATATATATGACTGGTTAATTAATTTGTCACTGTATTTATGTCCTTTGAACTGAAGTCTTAGATTAGCTATTTTCGTGCTTATTGATTCTCACTTTATTTCAACGAGTTAGCTGTGATATCCATTAGAGGCATTCTAGCTTATATCCAGGTGGTTGTGTTAGAACTCGTGCCCAAATGAAGAGATTTTCAAATGACACTTCTACTTTACATTGGGACCAAGTGATAACACTTTCACGTTTTATATACAGTAACATGAGTAAATGTCATGTGGGACATTTCTCATTTTATTATTATTAATATTATTCTTTACTCATTATTTAATTTAAGAGAAGTGTACTATATGTACACCTAGAAATATGCAATGTTTTTACTGAAAAAATGAATACGCGAATGGGCCTCTGTGTTACAATAGTGACATATACTTTATTCTATATAAAATTAGTGGAAATTATCAAATTTCCAGAGTTTTTAAAGAGTAATTTATGTAGGCAGTAGTTATGAAAACATTTCTACACGCGTTGTATCTTGATATGCTTTTATTTTCTCCGTGGATTCAGGAAGTAGCAACTTACATTCTATTGGTAAACTGTAATATCCTCCAGATGAGTGTATCAGACAACCTAAATCCACAGAGAATCCATTGAAGATCTTTTTTCTGGATTCCAGGTAACTACATGACAGGATTTATGACCATATATATGTGACGGTAGGATGGGCTGACTTGTTCAGGTAGCTAAAAGCTGAAAGACAATAGCATCCTGTTTTGTATATCAGGCATCTTGAGCGGTCAAGTCCTAATTTGAATAAAGCAAGAACAATAGTGGTTTGTGCAGAATAATATGGTTCCATCATTTATTTCGTTGACTTCTCATTAGCTGCTTACAGCCTGAATAAATTATGAGTTTTATGTACAGAAAAGTTTTAACATAATTGCAAGTTCTTTCTATGATGTCAGTTGACAGAAAGACTGCACTATAGAGCGAGGAGAATATGCTCTGCAGAGAAACTGGAGGAAGAATTTACGATTCTCGTAAAGTTGTTGAAAAACAACGGTTATCCTCAAAGATTCATTAACAAGTATGGAAGATGTAAAGGCTCAAACATCAAACAAATCACAGTTGAAAAAAGCCTGTCTTCATTCAACTAGATTTCAAAGGTGGAAACATTGCAGCAATGGTCAACAGAAGACTGAGTACGTCGCTAGCCAGAACTTATCCTGCATCTAAGTTGGTTCCCATCCATTGAACAACATGCTCTTTGGTGCAGTCAAAAGTCGACAGATACGCTTCTCATGTTAACTTTAACTGTATCTGCGGGAGCAGTTACATTAGGAGAACAGAAAGAAGGTTACACCACCAGATTTCTGAACATGTGCCGGAAAGCCTACGTCTCAAGGGAATAAACTTTTATAATAGCGCTATTACCAGACATCTCCTCGATACGGGTCATGAGGTGGAAATCGCCAGATCCTTTAAAATTATCAGTAGACAAAGGAGCTCGATTCTCCTCAAGTTTGCTGAAGCAATTTTTATCAAACGTTTGTAAGCAGATTTATGTGTTCAGGAAGAAGCAGTTATTAGTATTTCCTTGCCCTGGTAACTGGATGTCTTTATTCTTTCTTTCATTTGATTACGTAATCTTTAGCTTTAACCTCATTCCCTTGAAATAGTGTGATTTTGTCTGTCTCTTGTTTCTATGATTTGAGTTGAACTCAGTACATTATTATCTAATTTATTAGTCACTCAGCATCTGACACATCTCTTGTCTTGATAACGTAACTCTTTGCCATTGCATGCATACATTTATTTTTGTTTAAACTTGAACTGCCAGTGTAAGAACTATTTAAGCGCAATTTTCTGAGCACTGTTCACTAATTGCAGAACTTTCTGTCAACTGACATCATGAAAAACACTTGTAAGTATGTTTAACTTTTTCTGTACATAACCTCATAATTTATTTGGGCTGTAAGCAGATGATGAGAAGCCAACGAAATAAATGATGGTACCATATTATTCTGCACAAACCACCACTGTTGCTCTTGCCTTATTCAAATTCATCAAGGGGAATAAATGCATGAAATCCTCATTTGGTGGACAAATACAAGTATTTAGATAATAACTTATTGATAAGAAAATCACTCTTCATTCTCATACTCAACATAAAAATGCGTCACTTTCCAATGTAATGAAATTAACTGACAAATAATGATAAAGTAAACTGGAGCTGTTGGAATATCAGGTGAGAAAAGAATCATTCTTAGTTTTAACAATGCAGTTTATAGAGTTGCTAAAAAAGAATTAAGACTGCTTTTTGTAGTGAAAGGTTTAAATACTGTGTGGTGTAAAAATGGAGAATGCATTGTGGACTTAAAGGTTTATTACTTGCCATCACATATCTCATACATGTGTGTTTCTCAATCGAAAGTTATTTTTATTACTTAATAATACCCCTTACAGAGCTGGTAACAATCAAATACATCGGAAGACTATTTCATGTTACCTTCGGTATAGTGAGAGAACATAACTTAGTGTAAGATCAAGATTGTAACAACCATGAGACAAGAAATCTTTGACCTTCTGTCGACTCTCTAAAGACCAGAGACCACTCAATGTAAATGGTAACTGTTATTGAAGTTTCATAGTCTCATGGAGCAAATTTTGGTTATTCTTGTACTTATCATATGCAACAGATTGTTTTGGTCGATACAATTCAAACTTATATTCTATGATATATAAAATTATTGATCAAATTTAGATTATGTAAGGCGACAGATAAAGTTTAATCTTACCTGTGTACAATTTCTGCTTCACCTGACATACCAACTTTACCTCTCAGTAGTATTGATGGATGTGCATCACTATCAAGTGGGAATGCAAACGGGATAGCATGATCACCTGGTTCAAGCATAACTGGTCCTATATACGGTGAAAAGCATGGATCACTGAAATTCGCCTCTTTAATTGGTGATTGCATAAATTCAGGTTGTTGATAAGTGAATTTACGCAAAGGTCTCCTTCTACCAACTGTTTTATCATCAGAAAGTACAGTATATGATATCGGTATACGTTTCTGAAATAAATTTTAATTAAAGATTAATTAATTAGTTAAATATCTAGTTTAAATAGATTATCAAATAATCCGATGAAAATACTTTAACTTCGTACAGTTAGTTACTCTTTCCCATACTCACATAATTTGTCATTCAATACTACAGATGTAGTTTACAGAATGGTACACCTTATTCTCGTTTACTGTTGACCATTTCTGAGTAGGTTCATTTAAATACATAAAAATATGATCAGTACTTTAAGATGGTTAGCATTACAGGAGATTGTATACTGGGTTAAATTCATAACTTGCAAATTTATGATCATTTATATCATTATTGTTTCCTTAAATTCCTAGAGGAATATAAGGATTTAGCTGCATGTTTCTATTGCGTTCGGTTCTCTGCCAACGTTTTCACCTGGCTCCACGTCTGCCCATTTGCTTTCATCTTTTCTTCGCATCATCTCCTCCATTTCACCCTTGCAATGACCACCGACTCGCCCTTTCCCATTCGGGTTCCACTCGAGCGACGGCCTGGAGTGTGATGTCACTTGATGGTTTGTTTTCTCAGAGTAGTATGGCCAATCCACCTCCATTTTTCCATACAGATTTGTTGCACAATTGGTTCCTGCTGGGTTGGTTGGTTCATTGCCAGAGATCCCTGTTGCTGATCTTCTCTGCTGACCGGCCATCTGATCTTGAGTATTGAGCGAAGACAAGTGTTGATGAAGGTATGTAGTTTGTTTGAAGTGCCCCTCGTGACGCAGTGTGGCGCCATGTCTCTGATCCATATAGTGAGTAGCATTGACTTCACATTGGAGTTGAAAATCCGGATCTTATTTTTCATTCTGAGTGCTGTTGTCCCCCACATAGACTTGAGAGTAATGAAAGCTTGCCTTGCTTTCCATATCCTCGCTCTGACATCCTCGTCAGTTCCGCCTGTAGTTGAAACGACGATGCTTCCCAGGTAGGTAGGTAAAGAAGGTTGATTCTTCCAGATTTCTCCCATTTATGCTGACTGTTGTCTAATTTTGTTGTTATCGGCCATGAATCTTTATCGCCTCTGTCTTCTCTATGTTCACCTTAATGCCTATCTTCTATAGATGCTTCACTTGCGTGTCTTCCAGTTTGTGGGAAATCAGATATATATATGTCATCGGCGAAGTCCAGATCCTCCAAGTATTTTGTTTGGGTCCATTTTATATCTGTTTCCTCGTTGCACGCTGTCTGTCGCATTATCCAGTCTACCGCAGTCAGGAAAATTAAATAATTGCAAATTAATTAGTGATCTGCAATTTAAACAGTTCGTAAGTTAGTTTTTAAACTGTGAACATGACACAATGTATTAGCAGATTGCCTAAGCAGACAGCCGGAATTTGTTTGGTTTGAATTGATTCCGCTCTCCTAGCAGACTCTTTTGACGAACTTGGTCTCAAATGGACGAGATGGACACCCAGTTTTTAAATCACTTTGATCTCACTAGCAAGTACTACTGGTTAATATGAGTAGCATTCAACTACTCAAGTCGCTCATTCAGTAGTATATAACACCAACAATTGTACATTGTACGAAGATAGTTCTTCCAGTTGGTTATTTATTTAAAAATAATGCATCTACACCTCATGAAAGTGAACAAGACGTCTGTTCACAATCCCTTTTAATCTTATACATTTCATTTCGTAGGTACATGGAATCAATAAATGCACAATATATATCATAAAATAAAGAATTTAATCATAATAATATTTTACCTCCATATCTTGTTTTTCATCTGCAGATACAGTCTTAGTTATCATTTCCGCGGTAACTGCTAATGTGTGCAATTGAAGTGGATTCTTTGTAGTTATGTAAACAACACCACGTAATGCACCGCCTGGTACAACAGCTGAGTCGAACAAACGAAGTATAACACGATCCAATGAGTCATTTAGTGTACCGAATTGATTAGAAACAGTTGTGTATTTTTGTTCAGGTGTATCGCTGAGGTCAACTTTTTTCGAAATAAAACAGTTACTGTCTTTTGGTACGGATTGATATGCTGGTGCAGTGTTCATTTTTGTCACTGAAATGTAGAATTTTGATAAAATATCGGATTTTAGAGTAAATTAAAGTGGAACAAGGCATTTATTAACTGAAACTTAGTCAACTGTACTCTCTTATTATTTTTCTGGAAACTGTGTGCTATTAAGTTTGATCACAAGCCAACATTAGTTAGAGAACCGTCGGAAAACCAAGAAGTACTAGATAGCTGTTTTGTCCAAATTTCGGACTCTTCAAGGGCACGGACCCTCCGGAGCTTAAAGCTAGGAGCGTCCGGTGACAAGGCAAGTTCGTAGACTATTGCAGCCAGTCACCAGTGGGCATTAGATTAATTTCCAGGAGTTTGTAGTGATTGTATTTGTTTCAGGTGTGATCGTGAGATGACATCAGTTAGAGAACTATTGCAAAACTCGGGATATTATGTAGGTTAAATGTACTCTGTATTTAAGGGGAATGAAAGCCTAAAACTGCAATCAATTACTATTTCTACCTTTATTATATTGATATGAAGAAGGAATAGAGAATACGAAATATTCTTGAAAATCATTTATAAAAAGTTTTCCTTTAACACCAAGAAGTGACAAAGTGCCATTCGCTCAAAATAAATTTCAAAGTGTAGCCGAATACCTCTTGATGATATATAGGATCTTAAGACCAATTTTCGGTCCTTACTTCGGGCCTATCCTAATGCAAAAATCACTGTTAACACAGAAGCACACTTTCATCCTACAATATAATTCTTTATAGTATATGCTGACAGGATTTTAATGCAAAAGGATTTGGAAGTAAACAGCGGTGAGATAATTTATTTATATTTATTTAATCTGTTTGCGTTCTCAATGGAACATTGAGCTTCAGGCTTGAGCTTTGAAGTTTCTGTAGCGGTGTTGTTGTCCGCTCACAGACAAGGCCGCAAGTCTCTCATACAATGTTCCCTCTTTACTGAGGATACTACCAGCTAAGCTAGGTTTAGGAATGTGTCAACCGGAAATCTAACCACAGACTACATGTGTAGTTGGCCAGCATTCTACACTGAACCACCGACGCAAAAAAGTAGGAACATCCCACAATTTTGCATGTCATCCTTGAGCAGAAGCTATGCTAATCTTCTCTGTATAGTTCCAATTTAGTTTAAACAAAGAAGTGAGTACAGGGTTATTGTTAAATCGACACTCTTATTATGTGTACCTATTATTCGAGCTATATTCTGTCTTAATTCTATCAGCAGTTTGATAGTTTTACGAAAATGGTTTCTTTTAAAGAGTCAGTTTTTTGTTGTCTATTAATCGTGGTATTGGGGTTAGTTTTTTATCAACACAAAGATAAAATGCACCTATTTACGCCTTTAAAGAACATTCATTAATTCAGGGGGTGTACTTAGTGTGCAGTTACATATGTTCAATATAAGGACTTCTTCTCTAATGTCAACGGGATTGTATGGTGAAAGCTGTTGAAAAAGATCTAGAATGTCATCTAAATTCTCTTCATTATTAGATATAATAAAAGTATCATCCAAACCCAAATGGTGTCAACGATTTTCCATAAGTATGTGTTTTCGAATTTTGACATGAAGAAATCTGCAAACAACGGGCCACCCTGCCAGCCTGCAATCCAGTCCACTTTAGAGAAGGAGTTCAATTGAAAAGTAACCTTCTTAGATGGTCAACTAGCAAGACATGAACAAGGTGGAACACAGAAAACATCCAGCCACTGAAAACCAACATGGAACAGGCAACTCACAAACTTCCATAGTTGGGTGCCTTTATTTCCAAAACAGAACCTCAGAGTCCACAAAATTTGTAATCCTGACACCATGAAGGAGAGGCTGAGCATTCTAAGAGAGATTCTAAATGAGACAATGAGGCTACCACGAAGACTTCACTGCAAAATTCATGAAGCCTACACCATTAAAACTGCCTGCATTTTCTGCTTTCGAAAAAAGTTCCCACCTGAATTTAAAGTTCAGTGGAAACCCATCAACCGAAATGCTGAGAAACTCCCTATCCTAGTCACTGAAGAAAACACTCTTCTCGGCCGACATTCGATTCACATTCTCTACAAAACCACTGAGTGGTATGAATGTGAAGGATAAGCTACCAATGCTGTCCTCATCAATGTGTATCTATCAGTTCACCTGCTTCTGTGGAGTTAGGAATGTCGATCGTACTCAGAGTTTACTATCCAATCGTGTCTTCGAATACTTACTTTTACCCTCACAGTTTTTATTCTGGATCACATAATCGACTCTGGACACGAGTGAGCCTGGTAATCAACTTCAAAGTCATCGATGGAGTACGAATCAAACTTTTTCAAATCGTAGACGCAAGGACGATTCACATGTTAAATCGGTTCAGTCACTGAACTTACAATGGACCTAATTCACCTAATTTTTTCTCTTCCCCCCCTCTCCCAATTACAGTTTTTGCTGTTTATGACACTGATCTTAACTTGACTCTCTTTCAGTTTTAGTTGTGTTTTTCTTCTATTCAAGAAGTTGGTATGAAATGGATTTTTTTCTCACTTATTCGATTTTTTTTCCAGATATTCGCCATTTTAATTAGTTTAGTCTTATGCTTATGAGAACCTGATTGATTTCTTAATAAAAAAGAACAGAATCACTTCATACTTAAGCTTAGTTAGTTAGCTGCAGAAAATATTTTACCGTCTAAAATATTCTATTAACTAACGTATGATCTATCAAAAAAAAAACCCGCGAGACAAACAAGAAGTCATGAAAATCATGCCAAATACGTACAATAATTATTTTTATCTAAAGTATATTTATTGAAAAAAGATGCTCATATTATGTGTGTCTGGCAGAAATGTGAAGACAGTAGATAAAAAGTGCACATAATAATAATACTAAGCACTTATCTTTCATTATTTCTCAAATAACTTTAACTAGCCATGAAATCATCACGAGAAGTGGTACAGTCGTGTTAACACAACCAAAGCTCGTAGGAATATGCTATTCATCTAACCGCTCACTCGCAGCCAATTCAAACAAAATGAAACGTGTTGACTAGTTCCATTAAAATATACATATATATATATATCAATTCTAAGCTATTTCAAAACTTTTGGTAGTAAAATATTGGGTTTGAAAAAGTGAAAGATTCGCGAGCCAGAATACCTCAGTGGCAACGTCTCTGACTGCAGCACTGGGTGACGCTGGTTCGAATCTCAGAAGGGACATGAGTTGTTCCTTGAAGGTTGCAGATACGCCTTGTTGACGAGTGCCAACTAGCACGAAACCTAGGTCCAAGGCTTTCTGCCGATCGCCTCCAACCATCTAATATCATCACAAACAATGTACAGCGTGATGACGAGCTGCCTAGAATGGTGGCCACAATACAACCTGACTGATGGAATTCAGTCTGCACCAAAGAGAGGACTAAACGCATCACACTAGTTACTAGTGTCAAATCGAAAGATTCGACTTTCAGACAAAAAATATTTGAGATGTTTATAAGCAATTTATAAATAAATAAATTCAGTTTGTAGATGAACTAATCCGGTAAAAAACAAATAAGTCTTTACTTACCTGGTACAACTTCTTGGCGTGGTTCATTCCCCATTAAATCTCTTCTAAGTTTCGGTGGCTTAGCATAAATTAATTTTACTTTAGGTTTGTTGTTCATCAGTGGTGAATCTTCCATACTGCGACCTTTGTAGGACTATTGTAAATAAATAAAAGACAATAGAAAGTATCGCATATATTTGATTTCTATTCATAAATACTAATAAATCCGATATTAAGATGAGAAAGATATGCGATAGTCTTTAACGCATGCACTAAGTTTTCATGTTATCGTAGTGGTTATAAATCTCCAGTTTTCCTCGTCTACAAATTAATGACAATGAATAATTTTGAAAGGTCAATGAAAATCGTAATGAACAACTTCGTAACAGCATAATTACATTACAAATTGTAACAAAATTGCCATTCTTAGGCACTCTTTTTCTTCTAAAAAGGTTGTTGTTTGTAATTAGGTAGACCTAGATTGTAGAAGATCCGGATTTTGCGCTTGGATAATTTATGTTTAGTGTCGCACAAACTCGAAGACTTAAAGGCGAAAACCAACAAAGTGGTAGAAGAGGCAGGCAATAGAGAAAGATATCCAAGCGAACATAGAGTAGACGGAGGTGATGAAGATAACCAACCAACATCAACAACAAAACAACCAGCACTAATCACCATCAACGGAAGGGATTTGACGGAAGTTGCTTCATTCACTTATCTGGCCAAGAAGCACGGTTTCAACCACAGGCAGTGAAAATGGATCAAGATGTCAAGGCAGACCAGAATTGGAAAGGCAAGATTTACTCTCATCAATCTGAAATTAGTTTGGAAATCTTCTGCACTAAGCCAGCATAAAGAAGAAGATTCGAATTTTCAACAGCAATGTCAAGTTGGTCCTTCTATACGGGTCAGAAATTCGCACTACATGTCACGAAAAGGATTTCCACAGGGTTGCAAACTTTTTAACAACGGTTGCCCCCTTCACTGGGTCCATACAGAAAATAGAAAGAATCAGTAACAAGAAACTGTGGCTGGGAACAAACCAACGAAGAGCCGATTGCTTAACACATATGTAGGAGAAAATGGAAATGGATCGGGCATACATTGAGAAGACCGTCGAATGACATTGCGCGCAAAGCAGGTTATCAATCGAGCGGAATCCCGATAGGAAGTGACGAGTGGATCGTCAGTGTGAAAGTGACATGGAGGAAATCGTGTGGCGAAGGGGAGATGAGAGGTTATGGTCAATCGTGGTCCAAGCTGAAGAGGATGACAGAAGATAGGACAGAGTGGATGTGTGTTGTTGAAGCCCTATGTTTTACTCGGAACTCAAGGAAATAATAATAGATGACTAATTTTCTTGAAAAGTTGTCTAAACCATAGTTTCATAACTTAACCAAATGAAAAGTAGTATAAAATGATGTATTTATTTATTAAGTAATTTCAGTTAATTTTTCTGTAAAGCTTGATACTCATTCAAATTGTTTCACATTCTCAACGTAAGGCGTGATCACATAAGTATTCTCTGTCACTAGACAAATTTACAGTAGTACACCATCAACTGCAAATAAATATTTTTAGATAAACGCGCTTCATGCTAGACAGCTACGCTGTGTAACATCTGGTGACACAATTACGTACAAACAAACTGAACAGTTTACTGAACAATTCAGGAATTATCTTGGCCAAGTGACACGCATTTTCAGCGTCAGAAGACAATGGATTTTTTTCAAGATTACTCACAAGTCTTGTTGATGAGTGACGAAAGACACAAAATCGATATCAGGTGGAGCTTCGCGCCAACCATAAACTATGTGAGTTGATGACTATGAAGTTCGTTAATTGATAAAGGGGATAGCTTGGAGGATTTAATCGTGAGCTGAAATCCGTTAGAGAACCACTGGATAACTTGGAAGTGCTGGGCAGCCAGCCGTTTCGTCCCAGTTTGGGACTCTTTATCAGTATGCACCTCCCCCAGGGGTTCGAACCAAGGACCTTCTGGTTACAAGGTCAGTGAGCTCGTAGACGATTAAGCCACTGGGACCCGATCCAATGGCCAGCCCATGAATTCTAACTCCTGCCAATTCATGACATAGCACGACCACTTCGTAATGTCTTCTTCGATCAGTTACTGCCTCACCTTCAGCCTGCTGTACCCTACTGGTTACGGCTTTCCACTAGAACCTTAGGTCTCTGTGTGAATAGGCCAGTCACTAGTGAGCATCAGATGGATTTTCAAGTACCAATACTTGAAAACAAAGAGGGGATACTTTAGCGTCTGACAGTGAAGTATCTAGCGATCGGTAACCGTGGTTCATTATTTCTTATTTGATCAGGCTGTGATAAGACCGTGTTGATGGTATAGCAAGAACATATGAAACACATATCAGCTGATAAATCAAATGAAGCTACTATATTTCGAATATATTGGAATATTAATTGCATTCTATTTTCTAGTATTACTTGATACCACACATGTATTTTCTGTAGCGTTATTTTTTTTTCTTCACATTCCCCAGTGGAACATAGGGCTTCAAGCTGGTGGCTTGAAGTTTCTGTAGCAGTGTTTATTTTACAGGATGGGGTTGCTAGCCTCATGCCCAACCTTTCCTCTTCACCAGCATTATTTCTGGCTTGGCGAGGTAAAGGAGTGTGTCGGCTGGGGGTCGAACCCCGGACCATATGCATGGTCGGCGAGCGTCCTTACCGCTATGCCACCGACGCTTGTAGCGTAAATCCTTATTCCTATTTAATCAAAGCACAAAAGTGTTAATTTGCTTCGAATTCAAGAGACAAGCAGTTTAACAGATACATTTAAGGGTTGGGTTTCAAGTTTCATAATAGATTCAGGTGAAATCATCCCCTTTGCAAGCTTTACTTTAACCGCTATCTCTTCTAAACGTTTAATTTAAAAAATGCCTGTTTTTGTGAACTAGAAGACGAAGGAAAGCGAAATTGAAATGAAGAACGTAGACTAAAATGTGTCCCAAAGATTTCGTTTGGTTTTATAAATAGAGATCATTGATTTTTTTCTTTGCAGACACCAAAATCGGTCTCTACTACTCATTATTAGGTTGTTTGCTAATTTTCATAACGCTGTTATTGACTTGGTGGAAGTATCAAATGACTGGTGTGACATCTTAAACTTTATAAAAAAAATGTATATTTTAAATTTAGACTCTTAAATAAAATTTATTTCAGGTCTTAGAAAGAGTATTTTTGAAAGTAACAGTGGAATGTCTTGATTAACACGATTTAGAATACATCTGAATGGTGGATATTTTCACGTTTTATGCCTGCTCAGATGTTTTCAATATATATATTCATTACATTCCAATCTGTATACAATCTACTGTTTTCAATGTCGTTTTTATTTTCCTGCGTTCCTACTTTTTATATTGTCGCCAAGTACATCTTGAAACGGTTCATTTTAAACAACGTTTTATTTTGATTTGATATGTATGAAACTTGGGCACTGTGGTGTAAATTAATTCCATGGTAATTTGTTTATTGAATATATCACACAGTGAAACAGCATAATTTACCGGATAACACTTCAAGCACAATTTATCATTCATAATCAGATGAACTAGAAACACAAAACTTCGAAACTTGAGTTTTATACTTCCGTTTATTCAATCTCATTTATCATAAGGGTAGTAGAATTCTTCAGATGTCCGGAACAAGTGTGGAGTCATTCCTATTGCACGTATTTTCAGTTGATTCGATAGTTTAAGCTTTCGTTATCAGTCAGTCTCTTCCACCACTCTCTTCCGTTAGATTTTAAGACTGTCATCTTTTGTTGGGGCGGCGTAAATGCTGAAGCAGGTACCACATGGCATGTCAGTGCATCCTATCTATGCATGATGTAATGATTTGACAGTTCTAAAATCGAATATAACTGGGTGTGTGAGCAGATTGGTAATGGAAGCTTTATTTATCGAACCATCTGAAAATACGATCATTAGAAATGATTCAAAAGGTGCTCCAGACATCTTAAATATCCTACCAAACCTATGACATGCGGAGAGGAAGAAAGAGAAGTATACAACTCAAGTTCTGATGCTGTATGATTAAAGTTGATGATAATATTATGAAAAATAAATTTTGTTTGAAATTTCGTTTAGTAAATTACACTGTTTCACTGTATGATATATTCACTAAGCAAATTAGTACAGGATTTTACTTGGTTTGTATGCGTTGAAGAACACGTAATCCCGAAGTTGGCATAGTTTTATTGCCCATAATAGTTTTTACCCTTCAAAATTATTTCAGTGAGGAACAAATAAAAGAATTCCAAGATACTGAAATCATAGCTTTAAAATCAGTCAGTTTCCATTAGTCAAATATCTGTGAAATAATTCCTTGAGCACACATTTCATTAACGTCTATTTCGAAAGTTTTCAGTAAAGCTTTAATTAAATTCACCGAAGAAAATTATATCAACATCTTGTAAATGATACTTTGTTTTTGATAGGCTTTTAACAGCTTTTCAAAATCACTGGTATTTAGGATGTGATTTTGGTCGAAAATCAAACAAATGATTTCCATCATGAGCTGACATTAGTTAGAGAACCATTGGAAAACCTGCAGCGAGTAATGGACAGCTGTTTCATCCTAGTTTGGGACTCTTCATCAGTACGCACCCACTGGGATTCGAACCCAGGACCTTCTGGTTACAATGCGAGCTCGTATACTAGTAAGCCACTGGGACCCGATCCAATGACGCATGAATTCTAACTTCTGCCAATTCACGACATAGCACGACCCCTAGTCAATGTCTTCGGCGAGTATTTGTCCTCACACCCGACTTGCTGCACCCTACTGGTTACAACTTCTCACTGGAACCCCAGGTAACTACCTACCTGAAGACATTGGCTTGGGGTAGCGCTATGTCATGAATTGGCAGAAGTTAGAATTCATGCGTCATTGGATCGGGTCCCAGTGGCTTACTGGTATACGAGCTCGCATTGTAACCAGAAGGTCCTGGGTTCGAATCCCAGTGGGTGCGTACTGATGAAGAGTCCCAAACTAGGACGAAACGGCTGACTGTCCAGTACTCCCAGGTTATCCAGTGGTTCTCTAACTAATGTCAGCTGATGATGAAAATTCTGAAACCAATCAAATCCCTACAAACCAACACTTGAATATCAAACAAATGAACTTAGAGGAATTACATAAACATTTAATATCAGTGTCTGGAATATATGAATAATGTCTTCGAATAAGTAGTTTACACGATTCAACCAAGTGTGTATGTTAAATGACTAATAATGACGAGAGTTATTAGCTGAATATCATCAGCAGTGAAACTAAAGAAGGATATGGCATATTTCAGTGTTGTGATTACAGCCCAACAGGAGTAAGACAAGGCTGCCTGCCTATTAGCACCGATGATATTCTTAATTGTGGTGGACTGGATTACGTGTCAGATTTTTGGGAGCAGGAAGTTGAGAATATGCTGGACGGATATGAAGACTGTAGAAGATCCTGATTTCGCGTGTGGTTGACTTATGTTTTATGTCGCACAAACTTAAAGATTCACATGCGAAAACCAACAAAATGGCTGAAGAGGCTGGCGGCAAGGAAAGGAATCCAGGTGAACATAGAGAAGACGGTGGTGATGAAGATAACACACAACCAACCAAAAGCAACAACAACCAGCATCAGTCACTGTCAACAGGGGACATTTGACAGAGGTCACTTTATTCACTTATCTAAGAGGCAGTTTCAACCACAGGCAATCGAAACGGATGAAGATGTCAAAGCAGGACAGAACTGGAAAGGTAAGATACACTCACATCAATCTGAAATTGGTTTGGAAATCTTCTGCACTGCACTCCACAGCATAAACAACTAGATTCGGATATTCAACAAAAAAGTGAAGTCAGTCACTTCTTCCATATGGGTCAGAAACTTGCACAACGAGTGTGTCATGAAGGGCATTTCCAACAGGATACTTCAGAATATTATAAACAGCTGCCCACTTCACTGGTTCCATATTAGAGATCAGTTGGCAGGCCAGAAACAATTGTCAACAAGTAACTCTGCGGTGGGAGAAACCGACGAGGAGCCGATTGCTCAAAAAATATGTGGGAGAAAATGGATATAAGTTGGGCATACTGTGAGGAGACCGTTGAATGACATTGCGCTCACTGTAGGTCGAGCGGAACCCGAATAGGAATTAACGAGTGTGTCGTCAGTGCGAGGGTGACATGGAGGAGATCGTGTGGCGAGGAGGGGGTCCAGCTAGAGAGGACAGCGTAGAAGAAAAGGAAGTGGAGACGTGTTGTCAAAGCTCTGTGTTCCATTCGGAACCCAAGGGAATAATAGTGCTTATACTCCCACTTGAAACGATTTTGATGTGAGCGCAGATAGAAGTGGAATTAGAATTGTAATGGAATAATTAGTGTTGTTTAAATCGTGCACATTCAATGAGTTAATAATGCTTTTCCTAGTGATCCATTTGGAAACTTGCTAAACTTAAACATTAGTTTTCAAATTCTGTAAAATCACTGAGAGAAGTTTGTTGGAGGATCGCTTACCTACATAACACAGTGCATAGTTTGTTTTTTGTATATATATGAAAATGTATAAAAGTTGGGTAATGTGAATGCCATGAAATATGGCATATTCTCATGTATTTTCTGGAGGTCATGTAGTTTCTGTCTTTAACTTGTTCTGACAAGAAAGTTCTGCCTTTAGTTAACATTTTCTACTAGTGTATGTTACAGCTACTCTATAAACTATAGACTTGTTCACAAGATCAAAGTTACTTATCTCTTTACTTATGTTCAGCAAACAAAATCACACTTAAAGAATAATAATGTGGTAAAAAGTTCTTCTATAGTTTTAGCCAATACAAATTGGATGAAAATCTCATAGTTATCTGTAATATTTGAAACCTCAAGATCACCATGTTTCATAGTATATAACGGTAAAAAAAATTATAAATCACATGGTCAATTATTGATTAGATTACATATTTCTTATGACTTAGATAAACTATAATATACTTATTAATGTAGGCAGATTATTTAAAAGTTCATCTGAAAGTGAAGAAACATCGGAAAAGTATGAATAACTAACTAAAATGGATTGTACTAAGATGACTTTATGAGTATAGTAACAATTAGAGTTGTTGTAATTATTGATTACATTTGAGAATGCATCTAAATAAACACCTGCTATATGCACAAGGCATCTTACATGTTCAGCAAAGAATTTAATTGACTTGAATGTCGAATCTGACTTTCACTTTTGAATCCCTAGAATCATTTGATAGACAAGAAGCGTGATACCCGTTTTGTGCTTCCTGACATTCAAAAGTAAGGTGTACCCGGAAATTCTCGAAATAAACTTGTGTCATTCCATGCCGACATCAGTAACTTTTATCACTAAGCTACTGCGACGGAATAATTGTTTGGAAAGTCCATTCTGCACGATCTAGTTAAAAAAAAACTGATGCATATTTCGGTATTTGATTGATCGGTTACAGGATTTCATGATGAGCTGACATCCGTTAGAGAACCATTGGATAACCTGGGAGTACTGGACAACCAGCCGTTTCGTTCTAGCTGGGGACCTTTTATCAGTATGCCTCCACCCCATGGGTTCCAAACCAGGACTTTCTGGTTACAAGGCCAGTGAACTCGTAAACCATTAAGCCACTGGGACACGATCTAATGGCCCATGAATTCAAACTTATGACAATTCACGACATAGCACAACCGCTTCTCCTTGTTGTTTTGTGATTGTGATGATAGTGTGTTGTTCAGCGATTGTGAGTTTGATTGATTGAGGTAAGGTTTGACCTTGAACTGCCTGCACAAAGCTTCTGATGCATGATACTGGCTGATCGAATTTTTATCCTTACTCGTTGGGGATATTCTATTTGATTCTCGGGTATTCCTTGTGGTTGATTTTTAGTTTTGCCAATTTACTTCTAGAGTGCTTGTTTTGTACTGGAGAAATCCTTGACATATATAGCTATCAGCCTAACGTCATTGTTGAGGTAATTTTGCACTTCTATATCCTATTAGTGTTAGGCGGCACCATTAATTTTTTCACAAATAACTCTCTTTTTGCAATCATCGGGGCACTCTGGGACTATAAGTCACTCGGAGAAGTTTTGGTTAGCCATACAGTAGAACGCAAAGGTTGATTTCCAGCGTTCACACCAAAGCCGAAGTGTTGCCTCTGCATCCCTAGTGGGACACAAGTCTTCAGGCTTTCGAAGTTTCATTAGAGGTTATGATTATTTTATCGGTTAGGGTTGTCAGCTTCACGTTCAACCTTCTCTCTTTTTCAGAGCTTACTACTAACGAATAAACTGAGAGAGGGCTAGAAATGCACCGATGAGGAGTCAAATTTAAACAAGAAGTATTCCAGTGGCAACCTTTTCTCGTAATATTTCTCTCCTAAAACTTCACATTTATGTCTCCATGAATTTAATTCATAGTGTAGTGTTTTTTAAAATGCTACTTTCATTCTGAACTACATTACAAGAAAAGAAAGTTATAATACCATTTAATCTGTAGTTATTACCGTCTAAAGAACAGAATTCTTCGTATGGGTTGTTATTTAGAAATTTTAATCCTCTCTCGCCAATGTACTATCTGAAATGAAGTTTTGAATTGGTTAAAAGATCTTTACTACATAAGCAGAAGAAAACTGAACTTCATATCGAAATTGACTAACATATTTTGGTTACATGCCAGATGTTAAATAATTTAATGTAGCTAAGATTTATAGATCAGTAATATCAAAAACGTGCGTCGGTGGTATAGCGGTTAGGACGCTCGCCGACCATGCACATGGTCCGGGGTTCGATCCCCGGCCGACGCACTCCTTTACCTCGCTTAGCCAGAAATAATGCTGGTGAAGAGGAAAGGTTGGGCATGAGGCTAGTAACCCCATCCTGTAAAATAAACACTGCTACAGAATATTCAAGCTACTAGCTTGAAGTCCTATGTTCCACTGAGGAACGTGTAGGAGAAAAAAGATATCAAAAACGATATACCTCTTTCAAAAAAATAGGATGTAACTTGTGTCTGTACTCAATCTTACAATTCATTTCACATCCATATATCCTTTACTTTTCCTTGATTTGCTGCGTTCTCACTGTCGTTCCATATAATATTTGAGCGACGTTAATCATCTGTAGTTGAATATTATTGTTTCCAAGCACTACTAGTCTCTTTTCAGTCTTATGTGAGGCTTATACTACTGCTGTCGTGTGATGATTAGGTTTCTTACTCTACAAATTATACCTGACGCCTTTTAACCCACAGACTAAATGCATTTTTTTCATGCTGTTTATACTGTATACACTTAAGTATCAATTATCCTAAGGAAATATTAATTCTATCAGATGCCAGTTAACGTTCTTATTGACGAATTTATTTACGCCTTGTATTCCATGCTACTCGATAAAATTCCTCGACTCGCAACCAGAAAGCTGGAGAAAAAATTCATCGTAAATAACTACTTGCTCAAAGATCGCTTGTTTTAGAGATAACCGTTGTTGAAGCTCTCTGAGATAGATTTGGATTGACAGACTGCTATCAGCATGATTGATGTTCCTGGAAGATGTGAAGAAAACTTGAGCTGCTGAAGGATTAGAACCAGTGCCTCTTGGAGCTACAAGATCCTGATGTTAACCAGGTCAGAGTTAACCTTAGGAGTAACCCATGATAAGTCCAGTGAATTGATGACCTGTCCAGTTGTTGGATCGTATAACTTAAAAGGTGGAGCGTCCAGATAGATGTCTGTGAGTCAATGAATTTATTCCTCTTGCCACTCAGGTTTTCACTGTAGTTTCAGGTCATCATTCATTATGTTAAGCACTTATTTGATGAAGGAAAAGTAAGGTATTATAAGCTAAATAAGAAGCTTAGTTACGAACAAGCTGATTAACTTACATTCATTAGAGTTTGAGCAAACTGTGGATAAATGTTACTTTGGTCGCTTATATCATCTTCTGCATGTACAATAACAATATTTGACGACTTTAGATATCTTTCTGCATTTACCTAAAGATACGTAGAAAAAAACATACTTCAGTTAATCTTCAACTAAATATGTATTTACAAATAAACAAACATTATTTTAGTATTTTAGTAAACAGTGGTGAGTTGTAGACGGGAAAATTATGCATCTCAAGTCTCACTATCAACGACTACCATAATATGATCAGACACAACAAGAACTTAGGTGAATAACGTAGGCGGCCTGCTTTAATCACTGGGCTACCGAAATTGCTTTCCACCAAAATACCTAATTTCATCTGGATATATCACTGCTGTAATCGTCCAGTTAAATCAAATGAAGTTTACATGAACGCAATCACTGATTTTACTTGCTTCCAAGTAATCGCTGAGCAATTCTCAGCGAAATGAAGATATCCTTCAGATTACTACTAAATCCTGTATGAGGAAAAAAAGTATTTTGGAATTAAATGAGCTGAAAACTTTTGATAATTCATGATAACCCTTAGAAATATTAAAAACAAGTGTGTAACCTGAGATTAAAAGACAAACACCTTGGATAATGATGTAACTGTATGACTGTGTTTGTGGTCAGTGAAATATGGAAACTAGTTGATATAAGATACATAAATACGGTCGTAAATCGAATAAAAAGAGACCTCTTGTTACATATTAATTGATTTTGATATTGGCTGCACAAAGCGTACACTTTCCAAACGCGTCTATGAACATTATCCGGCATGGTTAGCAGAAGGACAATGCAAGACAGTTACTGGCTCACTTCTTGAGCACTTAGTGAACTTAAGCCACTTAGCTCCACCACAAGATTATTTACAATGTGAGGCCAAGTGGTACAAAGGTCGTCAAGTTTCAGGTTTTGTGTATGGCGGAGGCGTTGGCAATTCGTCAGTACAACCCCTAACTCTGTATGCAGAAGAAAGTTTGTCCAGTCTCTTATTCTACCATGCTCTTAACCTCTTCATTAATCGTTCCCTATAAATTTTTATTTTTTAATTTTACCTTTAGTTTGCTTTTACTTAAATAATTAATTCACTGTTATCATTCTTACATGTCCCTTTCGCCCATTTTCTCACCCTTTTCACACTTGTTAAATTGATACTCAACTATCTTTATAACAATTTTAACCTTATCAAATTTCTAACGCTTTCTTCCTTTGTGCCGTTGAGTACTGCATAATTTACAACTTTTATTTTTATTCCCAAAGCCACTTCTGAGTAATTATATCAGTTACGTAACCCTCTGTTACTCAGTAACAGACTACTATACATTTTTGGTAAATATAAATGCGACTGTACAGTCTCTGAAGGTGATTTCATCGATATAGAAAATTTGTTCGCTGGATTGTCTTCCATTTAATTGTTGTAAAACAGTTTTTTTCTTTAAAAGATAATGTAAATTCATACTACAGATTATATGAAATAACAATGGAGATGAAATTTTGAGTCATCAGATTTGTTCCTTAAAAGACGTTACTCCAGTAACTGTAAGCAGTTAGTAAGTGTACATCAAATTTATCATCAAGCTTCGACTGTGTAGTTTGCCTAAGTCATCGTGTAAAAATTACCAGTCGAAGTACGTTAGTCAACATAATAATAGCCACCGTCCTGAATTAAGCAACAAGTTTAGTGGTTCTATTATTGCGAGGATTCATCTTTAAACAAATTCATACACTTTTAGTGGTTTTTGACGGTAGGGGAACAGGGTTCAAATTTCTGAAGTAGGACTTATTAGATCATTTCGCAGAGGCATTACTGATGTGTGCTAAGACAAGTTCGAAGAGTTAGCCAAAACTATCTTAGTCCTCCTACACAAACATAGTGCAGTGTATTCTTGAAAATATTTTTCCTTCATTAGGCAACTTAGACGAATACTCAAGAAGTGTTTTTGTCCCTTGAACCAAGTCGATTTATGCAATCAGTGTAGAAATTCAGACCGTTATGTTCACGCACTAAAGAATTACGTTATATAATGATATACTCCCTGGGTCTTACAAAAAGAATGAGAAGGGGAATAAAATCACAACCACACACAGACAACTGCAATAAAGTGAATATCCCCCACGGTTTATGAAAAATACTAATAGTGTATACCTAAACATCATAGAATTCAATGATACTCCGGAGGATTTATTACTGCTAACATCATAGGATTCCCGTGGGTTAAGCATAACGAGCGAAAGAAAACAAGCACTATCATCTATTGTTCTCTTAAACAGATTTATGACGTTCTTTTTTCTTACTTTATGATTCAGAAGTGCGTATATTACAAGATATATATAAAGTTACGCATTCCTGACTATTTTGAGGGCTAAATGTTCCAAAAATTCTGTTGCATATGCCTTTCTCTCAGGAACATTTTTCAAGATAATACGATAAGTGTATGAGTTTATGGAAGAAATCTTTAGTGAATTGCAACCAGTGGATTTGAATACCTTTTTTAGCTTATCATTTGGTATTTTTTCATTACTGTTGACTCAAATCATACTTCAGAATACTAAGTAAAATGTAGTATCCCTGTATACCCCATCCTCAAATATAATCATTTTGTTGGTATTAAGGGCGAGGGAGGGGTTCACTTGATGACAAAATTAAAGATTAATATACTTCTGGCTTCATAAATATTTGAGGAGGTAGAAAGGTTTCTGAACTGCTTGTGTTATGAGTGAAACAAAGGGCTACAAACCTTCAAAGTTTAGCTATTGGTGTCGTTGCTGGCGTCATTTCCAACTTTTATTCTTTTTCAGGACGTACTGCTGGTTAGGCAAGGTTTGGAAGTGTTTCGACTAGGGAATCAAACATGAAGTTCTTGAGTGGATGGAGAGTGTTCCAGCATACCTCACACCAATCAATCAAAAAAAACTTAAGTTTCATAGCATCATTTTGTGAGGTTACACCTTCCTAAATGAAATGAGCGAATTCCCTTAGATTTTTTTCAGAGATAGTGACCAGTTTTCGTTATTGTTGATGACTTGTCTTCGTCATTTCTGTCTTCTCTATGTCCCTCAGATGGTTTGTCTTCTCCTTACGTTTCTTCTGTTGACTTGTTTATTTTCGCCCCGTAGAGCTTCGAGCTTGCATGAAATCAGACATAAATCATCTACGAAGTCCAAATTTCTTAGGTTATTTCTATTGGTTCAACGAATGCCTAGGTTCCATATTAGATAAGTTTGTTTCAAATATGGAATTGCATTCTAAAACAGTGGCCAAGTTCTACACTTAAATAAAACTCTGTAAATTTGTGTACTCTCAAGCAGCAATTGAATTTAAACATCTGTGCAGTAGACATTCAGTGAGTTTATAACTCGAAACTTAGATGAATCCGTTAGAAGTCGATTTAAAGCCGTATTCATGAGTAGGTATACTTGAGCTTAAAAGGTAAAACAGAATCCTTGTTCTACTTTTTTAGGGTATGAATTACTTTAACAAATATAAAAAGGTTAACATTGTTTCTAAATTCGCTTATCGACGCTAATTTAAATTGGGACATGTCAGTTTTACTTTTCCGTGGTAGCTACCATTGGAATTCAAGACGAGTTTTTTGTCTGATTAGGCACTCAGTGGAAGATGGTGTTCTCAGTGAAAATTAAACAGGGAATTCCAAGCAGTTATAACAAATTTTGATACCACTTGAACAGTTTGACATCAGACTCAGTAGTCTAAGGGAGAAATGCAAATACCTACATATTCTCAAATAAAGTATAATTATATTTCAGTAGTTTACACACAATAATAAGTTTTGTTATTGTTAATATTTCAAGCAAAATTACTGCCAGTGTTCACACAACTGTTGTGTGTAAACTACTGAAATATAATTATACTTTATTTGATCTATTCCACAATGCTCAAACTTTTAACTGACATTAATCCTACCTATTATGTTATGTCTAAATGTTGTTCTGTTCAAGAAGAAACTTATCACTCACATTCACTTCAAAAAAGGTGAATTGTCAAACAATTTTTTTCAATGTGTGGAAAATTTTGTCTCACCTGATTCGATCTTGGTTGACCGTAAGATTTGTCATTCTTTGGTGTTGTTTGAATTGTCCTTACGTTGTTATAAGAATGTATATCACTTCTGTCCATACTAGGCGAATCCATAATCGCACTTGTATCCGCAGTAGGTGTCACTGTTCTCGGTGAATATGGACCGTTTTGTGTAATACTGCTGTTATTGTGATTCTGAAGAGATATTTAAGAAACATTCGTATAGGAAAATATAAACATTTAAACGTTGAGATTTCTACTGTCATAAATTGACTAGTAATTTTATACCGAAGCAAGATTCATTTAGCAGAATATAACTACCAATGATTTCACGTAAATGTTGCAAGATTCCGTTTTATTTCATATTAATTAATAAACGCGAGGCATTCGTTTTGTGATACGCATTTTCAAAGGTTGCAGTATCGGTTGCCAGAATGAGAGGAATACAAAATATCGTCTGCAGAAGCATTTCATTTGACCGTGGTTAGTGTGTCGTCTGTTGTCAAATCAACTCATAATTCATAGACCACCTATCATTTATAGAGGTACATATGGTAAGAATTATTGCGTAAATATGAATTTAATAACACTTCATTCCATCTCAGCAGATAGATAGCCGTTGGTGTGAATACAGCTTATCGAATAAGTCAGAAATTCGGCTTATAGGTAGAAGTGAATACACAGACTACTATCCTCTTTAAGTTTTATCTGTCACAACACACACATCATTATTTCTTGCAGTGCTATATTTCTTGAGAGATTTGAAGGTTCTCTTTTTTGTATTTCGTCTATTTTGAAAACTCTTTTACTTATTTTGCGGGCCATGATTGTAATTGTGTAAATACATACACATTGTATACTATTTCAGTAAAATTTCTGGAATGGTTGGAAGATTCTATCATGAGCTGACATCAGTTAGAGAACCACTGGAAAACAAGCTGGGAGTACTGGACAGCTGTTTCGTCCTAGTTTGGGACTTTTCACAGTACGCTTCCACAGGGGTTCGAACAATTTATAGAAACCAACAGGACGTGAGCACCAGGTATGAATATGACATTTGAAACAAATGGAAATGTCACTTGAAAAGTTAATAAAACGAACCACATTTGGTATAATTTTCATAAGTTGTGTATAGACTATTCTGTAAAATCCAAAATGTGAATACAAATCATACTACTGAGATGCTTTAATAAAATGAAATCAGAAAGCCAACAAATTCCTTATTGGTATTCGTTAAATTAACAATGCTCCGCTTCATTTACTAAGTGTGACTAAACTCTAAGTTATAATAGAGATTTTAAGCGTAACTGAGACAGCTACTATCAGAACTTTTCTTCGCAGTCTATTTTTCCAGTAACATCTTCTCCAGTGGTTTTCAGCTTGTGACACCAGATGATTGTTATCATTATCTCTTTTTCTTCTTTTATCCTTATTACCATTATCATATTGGGGTTTAAATGTCTTACAGTTTTTATAGATACAAAGGTTCCGTTATCTAATCACCATTAGACGAGTTATTTCCCCCCTATCCGTGCAAATACAGACATTATACTTATATTAATTTGGCGGATGGTGACTAGGAGTGAAATCCCAGATGTTCGTTTTGTCCTATTCGGGACACATCTGCTAGATGTGCCTGCATTCCTCAGTGGATGATGGTGTTCCCACTGCAGAATGCAGGTACATCAAGATGACGAGTTGCAGATAGGACGGAATGCCAATCCTGAATTCCAGTGTTAATCACCACTTCCCAAATTATTTCAAGTTAATCCCTGGATACTGTCAGATCATCCTCACATGGAGCCGACATATCAACAGAGGCCGATCATTTTGCTCCAGTTATTCAACGGGAAAAAAACTACATCAAAAAAGCTTATGCTTGTGTATTCAAAATTACTTCCGCACGTCAGGCCCTTGAGTGGAACCTGAAAGGGAAGCGACGAGTGGGATGTCCAAGAGTGACATGGAAGAGATCGTGTGTAGAGGAGTTGAAACAGTATGGATTAACATGGATGCAGGTGAAAAGTACGGCAGAAGACAGAAGCAGGTGGAGACGTGCAGTTGAAGCCATATGTTCCACTAGGAACCCAAGGGAACAATAATATAATAATAGATTATATAGATACTTGCATGACTTAGCTGTTTTAATTGTTATTATTTTGATCGCCTTAATTATTACCCGCTAATCCATATGACCATAAGGGTTTCAAATATCTCTGTCAGATAATTTTGTTACGTTATTGTAGAGCTTGATGAGAAATTACCTATTCGTCTAAATTATATTGCGTAATTTTATGAATTAACAAAATTAATATAGGTAGTTAACTCTGTTTGTACCAAGGAATATTAACATACTAGATTTTCTAAACCCAGGAAGTAAGCTTAAATCTGACTTAATCAGTAATAACAATAAATCTGTTTTAATGTCCATTACTGTAAAGTTACTTCCTGGATCCAACTTGTTCATTATTCGATACATTAAAATTTCACATTCTTCATTAAATGCCTTAACTGTGTTACATCACCAGGTGTCATGAGTTCTACTTTTATTCATATAGTAATTATGAGAATAGTAATAAATAAGTATCGTGATTACAATCTACAAACCATCTGTTTCAATTATGATCAAGAAGTACTCTTTTTATGAAAACTTCCTTCTATATTTTCATATTTTTCGATTTTGTAAAGTCTTAAAGTGATATGGTATGAGAATAAAAGCCATTTAATTTAAAATAATTTGTTATGAATGGATGCGGAAATCTGTCAGCACTCATCTGACTAATAGATAAAAACATTTATTACTCGGATATTGCTTGTGACCCAGCGTAATTACATAGTTTGTCTCTGTCACACGCCAAGAGTCATTTTTGCTGCCTAAATGCTGTAAATAGCCGAAACAGTTATAATTAGTAGATTCCTAGTGAATTTTGTGCAGAGCTAAAGTGTCGTCCAAGGAAGTTAAATCAGATTATAAGTTTCCAGACCGTAGGTTTTACGAACTTCCTGGAATAATTTGAGCACCGAGCGTCAGATTGATTCATTATAAATTATTTAAATTAATTCCAGCGTGTTTAAGAAAATCAAAACAAGATTTTTCTGAACGTTTCGCTGTGTAAAATGCGAATAAATCTACTGAAGAAGCTGTGGCTTTCCAGGGAAGAAATTGTATACTAACTAGTATGTCAAACCTAATTGACCACGCTACATAAGACAAATAACCAAAATAGAATTATTGGCAGTCTTCAGGAGCGTCTAACTTCATCGACTGAACTTAAAAATGAAGTGAAATGCCGTCTACAGGTAGACACCGATTAGTGTTGCAGTACATATTGAGGGGTAATGGATTGCCGAACTTGAGTTATACTCACTTGCTGTCTTTTATTTATTTATTTCTTTTGCTTTTTGAGTGAAACATATGGCTTCAAGCGGTTAGCTTTGAAGTTTCATTGGCAGTGGTGCTTTTTTACGAGATGAGGTTGCCTTAGCCTCCATTCTTTATTGAAATTGCTACCAGTTAGGTTATGTTAAAGGATTTGTCGGTCGGAGACCAAACCCCGGACCATGTGGACGGTTGGTGAATATTCTATGGCTGGACCACCGGGGCACCCACTAACTGACCAACTACCTTATCATTCTGAAATTATTTTGTCAAATATCTAATGAGGAACAGTTCGTTTAGACACTTATATTATCTAAATGCCTTTCAGATATAGTGAAATATAGTTTTTGAAACAAAATCCACTTAAGTTATTAAAGATGAAAGGAATGTGAAAGAAAGGCGAACCACTTTCAGTAGTCATCAAGTGATAATTATAAATTCACTGCTGAGATACATTGAAATAGGCCAAATTTAATTGATTTTATTCTTAACTCAGTTTTACTGAAACTCAAAATATCTAAGTCAAGTGTGACCTTCAGGTGATGTCTAGAAATAGCGCCCATGGAAGAGATGATATTTTTTTATCAATCATGAGTATGAGACAATAATTAAGACTACAAAAACTAGTTATTTTAGTATGCAAAAGAGGTATTTTTGTTAATATTGTCCATAACCAAGCACAATTTATGAATGTAATTATCTATGGGGCTGGATTTAACTGACAAATCGGGAATTTAAATAATAACAATAATCGTCTACCTTCCGCTAGTTATCACTACATTAATATGGAAAAAATAATCTCAGCAAAGGAAAACAGCATATTGAACATTTTATCGGATTTTATTGACATCATCCATCCTGAACAAGGGAAGGTGATTTCACCCAAATATTCTTAAACTCTTGAAGTAAGTTTCCAACAGTATTATATTCCTTGAATAATTGTCTTTAAATGTTGTCGAAATCCCTCGAAGTAAGAATAGGCCTTTCGCACAAAACTGTTTATGATTTAAATATGATTAAGTGTCTTGATGTAGTGATCATATATATATGTGTATAATATATTCCGATTAATTGGTAATGTAACATGTTTGTGTGGATAGGTGAGCAGTTGATTTACAGTGTGGGCAAAATGAGATATGTCGAATAAATGACGTTGAGCGTATACCTTAGCAGCGTATATACATACGTATAAAATACATTTATTATGTAAACAATATTTTTAATAAATTTACTCACTTCTACAGACACTTCATATGAATGACCTGTAGCCACAGATGAATTAGTTAAATTCATAGTAATTGGTATTTTTTTCTGATTGGTTTTTGGAGTAGATGAAGCAACAGCCACTGGACTAATAGTTCTGTTTATAGGTGATGACATTTCAGTAATTTGTTCATCACTTTCCGGTCCTTTATCCTGAAGCAAAAATCAATTGAAATGGAAATTTCTTTATTCATTTATTTGATACTTATCAAGTTGATAGTGAAATTACATAAATGTAATATTCCCAAAAGGAGTTGTCAAAGAGTGAAATCTGGATACTTTGTCTACTATGGAAACTGTCTTGATTATGTCTGTATAGTAGTAATCACTTACATTTTTCATTGGTACATACGGTTTATGTTCTGTAACTTGTGTGCGTGTGTGTGTTTGTGCTTATTTTAAGTGAAAAGATGTTTTCCTCGGTGAATTCACCTACTCTTAGGCCTTGTTGATAAGATATTATAAATTACTGGTTATAAATCACAAGTTCTTTTAAGTTTTAGATAAAATTTTACAAAATCACATGAAATTCTTATGCATTCATGATACAACTAAAAATTCAGTTATTAAGATTAGAAGAAGGAGAGACAAAAAGCGGTTTATTTTTAGTGGCATTGGAGTGATGCTTGGGAATTTATATGAGTATCATACGTAAGCAGAAGTAGAATCACTGAATTTGCCAATAAGAGAATAATTTGAATTTGTTCTGCTTATAAAACCTACTAAATACTTGTTTAAGTCAGTCGGTGATTCAGTGATTGAATGTTCATCAATCACGAATGTGGTTCGCGTTTGATTCCCTGCCAGTGCACTCCTTAACCTGACTGTTTTTTCTTATTTTTTATTCCTTTACGTTCCCAGTGGAACATAAGGCTCCTTCAAGCTAGAGGCTTGAAGGTTTGGTAGCAGTGGTGTTTATTTTTACGGCATGAGGTTGCTATCCCCATGCCCAACCTTCCCTCTTTAACAGTCTTATTACTGACTTAGTGAGGTAAAGCAGTGCATCAGCAGGGTATCGAACCCCGAACCACGTGTGGCGTGGTTGGCGAGAATTCTACCACGGTGCCACCGACGCTAACCTGATTTAGCAGGTGTTAGATCTGTGGAAACAGCACAAACGCTACTGAACACTTGAAAGCTTAAAATTGGAAGCCTTATGTTCCACTGTGAACGCAAATGAATGGGAAAAAAATTCCATTTTAAATGAGTAACCTTCAAGTTATGCGGAATTATTATTTTTTCTTCGGGTTAACTCACATACATAGAAACATGTGCATACCAAGTATATTCTAATCAAGGTATTTATTGCATAAGCAGTATTCATAATCAAAGTCTGAATGCAGCTTTTTTTCTCAAGTAGATTGTGAAGTATCTTCTTTGAATTTACAACTAATTTTAGGAATAATTGCGCATGGGCATATCTTGTCCAATTAGAGAATGCCTTCAGGCAAATTATTCAGTAAGATATACTGTGTAATCATTATCTCTACAAGAATCATCTCCTACCTGGCATGTCTAAAAATTAAAAATGTTTAATAGGAGGCTCTCTTTTGATAATATTTATTGTTTGGGATTCAGGAAAATTGATTTGCTTTAAAGTATTGTATTTTCTGGTTAAATGATTTTAGACAAAGCGATAAGAAGACGTAATTTGTCTGGATCGTGTAATGTATTTGCACAACACTTATTTCGAACAATCTGATCACACACGGACTTGTCATAGGAATATATATTTGGAATTAATAAAGAGTTAAGACGTGAGAAAATAGACTTAGGTCAAGTTGAAAGGACATATTGAAGGTCAAGATAACAATGAAGACCACCAAACCAAACAAGAGAAGTAATAGTGCACCCACGCTGACTGGCATCAAAACAAAGTTTACCAAGGAAGTTGTAGTGTGATGAAAAATTATTTCTGGTTTAAATTTACTCATTACTAACTAGAGCTTCCACATACTTTAGAATACGCCACAAACACGTTTAATAGCTAGCTTTAAAAGATGTGTTAACGTCAATTTTATGTCCTTTCTTTATAATATGTTTCTCAATAGAGAAGCTAGGTTTCCTGTTCTCACCACTAATGGGTTCTGAAGATTCTGTTTGCTTCTGGAGCCATTTAGGAATACATTCTAAAGGCGGCCCTTACTTGCAGAGATCGATGGGTCCTCCCTATGTATGTTTGTCCACACGTACATTCAAATTGGTAAATATGGTGGGATGTGACATTATTTTTCGCATGTTCGAACGGCTTAGATGGATATAGTGGGTTCACATTCTCTTTTATTATAATATCAGCTGCATAAAAAGTCCTCTATTGAGAAACATATTATAAAGACAGGACATAAAAATGACGTTAACACATATTTTAAACCTATCTATAAAACGTGTTTGAGGCGTATTCTAAAGTTTCTGGAAGCTCTAGCTAGAAATTAGAAAGTTCAAACCACTTTATGCGTTCAAAGCAACAATTCGTCATCACACTAAACCTTCCTTGGTAAACTTGGTTTCGATGCCATAGCAGATAAACTATTACCTCTGTTATTTGGTTGTTATTTTGACCTTCAATATGTCCTTTTAACTTGACCTAAGTCTATTTTCTCACATCTTGACTCTTTATTAATTCCAAATATATTCCTATGACAAGTCCGTGTGTGATCAGATTGTTCGAAATGAGTTGCACAAATAAATTACACGATTCAGACAAATTACGCCTTCTTATTGCTTTGTTTAAATTCCTAAAGGGAACTAATTGTTTTAAAGGTTAAATGATTCTTAGGCAGTTGAATGTAATGAATTTTAGAAAAAAACTGGAAAATAAGTCATACATTGCTTCATACTGGATAGAAACGGGACACGAATTTTATTTTGATAGGACGAAGGTTGTACGGAAAATTTGAAAAGATATGGTGGTTTAATTTTAGCTGATGCATGGTAAGTCTAAACTAATAGATTAATAGCGTTTATATGATTCAGCGGTAGAATTGTTGTCAATCACATACTTGGTCCGTGGGCTTGACTCCCAGGCGACGAACTACTAGGCCATCTAGTCCACTGGCCGATAGCAAGTGTGGTAAAGAGAAAAGGTTGGGTGTGAGGCTAGCAACCGCAACTCGTATAAGTAACGCCATAGCTACTGGAACTTCAAGGCTTGAAGCCCGATTTTCCACTCAGGGAGCAGAAGGAATGGTAGGCGTATTCTTGTTTAGACATTACATTTTTATTTGTCGGAAATTATTCCATGATATCAGATCAGCTCTTGTTCATACTGTTGTTTTCGAAAGCTGTGCCAATTATACAAACTATTGCTTCTATGAAATTGTACTACTGTGTTTTCGACTAGTGTTAACCTTCTTCTTCCAGTTAAACGTAACCTGTAGAAGTACAGCCAAGATGAAAGAGGGTATTCAAATAATATATATATATTCTGTCTTTAGGTGGAGTTTTCTGTTTATAATTGATTTCAATCTAGTATAGTGTATTGAAGATTATATGTAATGGCTTTCTATCATTTCTGTTTGTTTGCGAAGTTTTAGTAAAACAAGGAAAGTAAATATTTTCGTCAATTTATAGCCTTTCATACTTTATTATTAACAGACACAATAGTATCATTGGAAGCTCTGCTGTTCATGCCAGAGAAATTAGTGATTCATTAACAGATGCATTGAATCGCAATATTATTTTCACTTGAATACGGCTTATGCATAATAATTTTCAGTACTGAGCTAAGCAGGTTGGATCGATTGGAGAGTATTATAGACATACCTAGCTTACGTAAATAATGTCTTTGAATTTCATTTCTCAATTAAAAAGTCATCATTACGTTTGATGATAATTAGCATGTAAATTATTAAATAAATAAATCATGAAATTAACATATTTGAAATTTAGTTAAAAGGAATGTAAGAGAAGAATTTTGGCACTGAGCAGTAAGTAGATAGTACTGTATCACTAAGTGTGTGTTTTCATCAAATAAAATTATTCTATGATGGAACATTGCGTCGATGATTCCGAGATAGGGCGCTGATCGACCATGCACGTGGTCCAGGGTTCGAGTTTGGGCCAGCGTACACCTTTACCTCCCTTAGCCGGTTATATTCCCAACAAACAGGGAAGGTTGGAACTAATATGGAATTATGCGGTGTTCTTATACCACTTGAATTTCAGATATGCTTATTTGACGTAACACAAGGGGTGAGATAGAATTAATAACAGCACGGTGTTTTGAGCACAATGTATTCCTCAAATATGACGTGATTATCAGAAATACACCATTCTGCAAATGTCATGGCTTCAGTGACAATTAACAAGTTTGATCATAAGTTGATTTCAGTTACAGAACCATCGGAAAACCAGGGATTACTGGACAGCCGTTTCGTCCCAGTTTGGGGCTCTTCAACAGTACACACCCAGTGAGGTTCAAACCCAGGACCTTCCAGTTACAAGTGGAGCTCGTAGTTAATTCCGCCACTGGGACCTGTAACCTGTAACTAATAGCTGCGAACCAGCCCTTGATAATTTAGTAATAATTATCTCACAGACTTATCTGATATGTAGTTACATTTGAAAAATAAATTAATAACTTGAGTGAATAGAGTATCCACACAATCTAATCTTGTTCACATCATAACACTGCAATGAAACATTATGCTTTTATGAGTTTATAATATTATATTAAAAGTTGATGCGAGAACTGTGTATTTTTCAATATAGTATACTAGGACTCATATGATGGTAACTGATGAGTATATTGACTCCTATTTTTAATATTTCTAACCTTGAAATAACATTATACACTATCGATTCATCACTTGATTTCCACATGAATTTATAAGAAATCAAAACTAAGTCATTCATGTCACAAGAGTCACTGGGTTGAATTCTAATGATTGATTCATGAATTTTCAAGTATTAGTTTTGTAAGGATTGCGTTTTGATTGGTTGGAGGGTTTCATCATGAGCTGACATCAGTTAGAGAACCATTGAAAACCTGGGAGTACTGGACAGTACTGTGTACTGCTGAAGAGCCCAAAACTAGGACGAAACAGCTGTCCAGTACTCCCATCTAGTTTCCCAATGGTTTTCTAACTGATGTCAGCTCATAATGAAACCCTGCAACCGATTTATGAATTCTCACCTTTCACTCCACGAAACAGTGTATCTCATCAACCAGGTTCATCTGTCTATTTATCAGACTACTGGACTGTTTCATCGATTACAGAATATTGTTTCGCTCATGCTTCTTTCAAATTATTGTGTTCTATCTGAATATTCATTCACTCAAGATTACTGAAAGTCATCAGTACTTTTATATCTGAACTACTCTGAAATGTTTTTGGAAAATTGTTCCCCATAGTAAGACTACTGCAAAACAGGCCTGTCCTGATGTATCATTTTTAGTACTACATGAAAAAATGAAGATGTTCTATTGAAGCCCTATGTTCCACTCAGAACCCAAAAGAATAGTTATCATGTTCAATGTAGTTGATTGCGATGATAATAAAAAGACTGGAGATAATCAACCACACTCAAAGTTATATATATGAAAATAGTGTCAGACATGAACTAACTAACCTTCTTTGCACTACTAAATAAACCATTTCCTTTACCCTTAAAGCATCATTCTTTATTGTTATTGTATTTCTTATATTTATAATCTTCTCAATTTTTTCGTTTTGTTTATTTTTTTTCATAAGTGTGGACATAATTTTAAGCTGTATTATAACTGTTAATTTCGTATTTCCCCTCACAATACTGTATCAACAGAACATTAGACCCAATAATCTATAACATGCTAAAGTTCCCAAACTGAATCGACAAAACCGTTTGAAACAAACTCACTGTTATTATTAATTTCTTTCTATATCCTTCACATTCCCCAGTGGAACATAGGGCTTCAAGCTAGTGGCTTGAAGTTTCTGTAGCAGTGCTTATTTTACAGGATACGGTTGCTAGCCTCATGTCCAACCTTTCCTCTTCAGCAGCGTTATTTCTGGCTTAGCGAGGTAAAGGAGTGCGTCGGCCGAGGATCGAACCCTGGACCATGTGCAAGTTTGGTGAGCGTCCTAACCACTATGCCACCGACGGACTTATTATTATTAATACTATTATTGTTATTATATCTAATAATTATGTCGTAAATGTGGACAAATTCCTCCGATTAATTTTGTTTTAATTTTTTTATATATATATATTTTGATTAAATCAGATGCAATATTGTGACAAATGCTGAGAATTCTATTCTGTATTATAAGTGCTGTTTTTGGAATAAAGTAAATTATTATTATTATCAGAAAGAAAGGAGATTTCATTCACAAAGGACTCCGAGAGCTAACTTCCTTTTGAAGTCTAAAGTGAAGTAGGTAATTCGCTATTCAAATTTCTTTGAGTCATAAGGCGTATAATGTGATCTCTTCAGGTATTAGACATTAGATTCCGAGAAAGAGCATAAGAACTACGCAAAAAAAGTGATAAAGCGTCATACTGAAAGTCTAATTTCTAGTCTGTTAAGGAACTTTATCTCACTGAAAACAACGTGAAAACATTAACTTACTGTAGGTTTGAATCGTGGAAAATGACGATAATTATTAGGCGCCCAGTCTCCTGAATCATTTTCTGAAAATGCAGTTAATCAAAATAGACAACAGTTTGTATACGAATGGGAAAATAATAGAAAGAAAAAAATATAAAATGCTGAATAAGAACGTCTTTTTTATTATAAGTTCATTATCTGGAAGTTAATCAATGATTAATCATTGTAATTACAGGTTTATATTAAGAAATGATGAATCACATTATTAAGATATACTCGTGTGAGAAATCCCATATTTCTTGAGAAGTTAAACGAAGTAGTTTACAAAGAAGTAAAGCACCATGTTACTTGGTACGTTAGAAAGTAAGCGCTCAAATAGTGATATTCATACAGTTTGCTATCATCATAATTGTCTACTTGACGATATTCTTATGCCCTGAGTTTTTGAAAATCTATTTTACAGTAGTCATCCGAAGTACAACTTAAAAGATTGATTAACGAACATAGAATACATTTTTCGATAAACCCGCAATTGGGCTGTACATTTATATGACCATAATAATTTAAAAATATTGTTATTAACAACATTAATGCTTTAAATTACACTGAATCAGTAGTGTAGATGGATTAAATTTCAAAAGCATCAACAGATAATACGTATTAGTATAGCACTAAATTGAAGATCATATAAATTAAGGAGAGCGATACAGAATTTATCAATTCATAGACTAGACAGACGGCTAAGATAACAGTGATGGCTGGACCTGTTTCTTTCACATGCGGAGCTCCGGCTGACTTAAGCGAATTGCACTAGCCTCTTCTGTTTTGAATGTTGGGCATCTAGAGGCCTTTGGTAACTTATTTGATACCCGATAGATATAAGAGACTCTTCTATGGTAGTTTTTTGGCCTATTTGGACGAAGTGATCTAGCTGGTTTTAACAACACCTGGTAGGTGTTCCCGAGGTTGAAAAACTAAGTTCAAAAAGCAACGGCCAATATTACTGGCTCCAGAGGAGCAGCTGAATTAATAGATACAGTTAGAAGCGGCTAACCTAGATGCTTCGTCTTTCACTTCCGGAACCACAACAGGTTGTGTGGAAAATATAGGCTGCAGCTTACCGTCATTAGATGTTCATTTGAATCGATCTTCCCAACGTTTCGGTTATTATTTTGTAGTCGTATATGTAGGGGCTTTTAGTTAACAGATACAGAAGAATTCGTTTGTACTTTCTTGGCTATGTGTTTACTGACAAACGTTTTAGGGTAGCAGTTACTGAATATTCCCAAGAGGATGACTTATTAATAGTCCAGCTTACAGTTACCTGATCTGTGAGATTCGTCTGTTCAACAAGTCGTTAGTTCACTACAATCTTTAAATAGTATGCCTTGGTAGTTATTTCATTATTATATATATTATTATTTCCTTTAATTCTTAGAGGAACATAGGGCTTCAGCCGTGCGTCTCCATTGCGTTCGGTTCTCTGCTAGAGTTTTCACCTGGCTCCAAGTCTGCCCACACGCTTTCATCTCCTCTTCACATGAACTCCTCCAAGTCACCCTTGCACTGACGACCAACTCGCCGCTTCCCTTTCGGGTTCCACTCCAGCAATGGCATGTAGTGCGATGTCACTTGATGGTTTCCTCAGAGTATGGCCAATCCATCTCCATTTCTTCCTGGTTACTTGTTGCACAATCGGTGCCTGGTTGGTTTGCTCCCACAGGTCCCTATTGCTGATCTTTTCTGGCCGATCATCTGATCTTGAGTATTGAGCGAAGACAACTGTTAATGAAGGTCTGTAGTTTGTTTGAGATGCTCTTTATGACGCACTGGCCAAGTCTCTGATCCGTATAGTAGCACTGACTGACTTCACATTGGAGTTGAAAATCCGGATCTTATTTTTGATGCTGAGTGCTGTTGACCTCCACACAGACTTGAGAGTAATGAAAGCTTGTCTTGCTTTCCCGGTCCTCATCAGTTCCGCCTGTAGTTGAAACGATGCTTCCCAGGTAGGTTATTTCATTCTTAAGATGAAAATGTAGACGGGTTGTAACTGAATATTTCGACTGTCTCTCTTACTAAAAGTTGAAAATCATATGGAGCCTGAAAATTACGATAATCAAGCCAGCATTTTTGCATTACTGAATAGTATTTCAACCAACAGCAAACAACTATGTCATTTGAATGAGTTTCCATTCAAATTCATACCGGTCAGCTTATGTAGCAGATATTATCATCTCTAACACACCAAAGAAGGCCAACAATTATTGAAATTCCAATCTTAATTAACTCTTTCTATGTAAAATCAGTTTTAATCATTACAATAAATATTTCAGCCTTTAACTGTTCATGCCATTCACTAGCATTTATATTTTTGAAGTGATTTGTTACTAGCTATAAGTACAGAGATGTTGCCTCCACTGTTCTCTTTTTTTTCTACTTATTGATCGTATCAAAAGTTATTGTAAGGCTTCAATAATAATAAAATAGTTTTTCTTTAGTACATTCAGTGGAATGTTTAGCATAATGAAATTACGTATATTAAAAAAGGTAGCCAACAGATACAAAATAGGTGAAAAAATTCGAAAACTCATTATAAAAAAATGAAAGATAGAGACATACATTGGCCTCAGATGAGAAATAATTTTACGTTTAATGTAGTCTGCTAACTATGAAATATAGATTTTAGTTAGATGATTATTTTGTCATAATGTGCATAGTATAACCAACTCATAATCTGCAAATTTTTTTTACTAATTTGAAATCTATACAGTTTGAGTGATAAACGTGCACCGTAGCTTCCTTTGGAAATCAAGTTATTCTGATCACAGTTGTGGTCTGCTTGATACCTTGAATGATAATCAAGAAAGCAGCGTTTCCGCATAAAACTATATACTACTGATTGGTTGAGACCAGTAGTAGTTCACCCCTCGTGTCAACCAGTAGTGCTTGCTAGCCAGATAGGAGTAATCCAAACACTGAAGGGTTTTTTCGCTCATCAGTTAGCCCTATTAGCTAGCCAGAAATCTGGTTGTTTGAACTCATTTGGCTCGCTGAGTTGAGTCAGACCGGGTATACCATTGATGAGTTCGGTGCCAAACGATCGAGATGGTAATTCGGTGTTTAGATCTCTTCGATCTGGTCAGCAAACACTTTTGGTTGATGGGAGCGGCATACAACTACTCATCTTTGTCAATCAGCAGTTTACAGTTTTATGCAAAAATGTGCACATATTTAAGAGAGGAAATTTAAATACTGATCATTTATTACTTCTAGTTCGTCCCTGTTAGCACATCTGAATACGTTTCAGTCTTTTTCTCCCCCCGGTGTAATTTTATTAACGGGATAATTGTTTTATTCACTACTTCCTTTATTCCTACTTCATTTCAAATCTTATTTTGGAGAGAGTCATTTAACTGTAGCTATCAGGCTCTAAAGTGTAACCCTACTGGGAAGTGATGTGTTGGGCTTGTGTTCAAGGGAGACATGGAGGAAACCATATGAAGAGGGGTGTGCAGCACACCAAAAATTGTGCAACCATCTAAAAAAGACAACAGAGAACAGAATTCAGTGGAGATATTCCACCCGGAATCCACCGAACTAATAATACAATGATAAAAACACCAGATGCGTAAAATACTTCAGAAGCCCCTTGTAAACATTTTTGCTTTTAGGTATGTAAACGCTTAAGAAAGCTCTGACTACGAAAATAATAAGCAGCACATAGAACAGCATGGAATGGCAATCAACCCTCTACCTCAACTTCATAGACTTTGAGAAGGCCTTCTACAGCGGTGACCGCGAAGAAATTTGGAAACTACTCGAGTACTACGGCGTACCCCAAATATTCATCAACCTTATTCAACAGCTGTACGACAACGGCACATGCCAAGTGATCCACAACGGAAAACTCAGCGAGGCATTTGAAATAAACACAGGAGTCAAACAAGGGTGCTTATTATCACCAATGATATTCCTAATTGTGGTGGACTGCATTATGCGTCCGACAGTGGGAAACGAGAAGACAGGGATATCCTGAGCCGACGTGAAGAACCTAGAAGACCTGGATTTCGCGCGTGGATGATTTATGTCTGATGTCACACAAAATCGAAGACTTACAAGCGAAAACCGACAAACGGGTCGAAGAAGCAGCAAAGACAGCATTCCAGGTGAACATAGACAAGACGGAGGTTATGAAAATAACCAACCAACAACAACAACAACAGCAGCTGCAACATCCAGTGCCAATCACCATCAACGGGAGGGATTTGAAAGAGGTTACTTTATTCACTTATCTAGGGAGCATTGTCTCAACCATAGGAGGAACGGACGAGGATGTCAAATCGAGAACCGGGAAGGCGAGAAACACATTCATCAACCTGAAACCAATCTGGAAATCTTCCGCTGTCACTCAGCATCAACAACAAAATTCGGATTTTCAATACAAACGTCAAGTCAGTTCTTCTATACGGATCAGAAACTTGGCCAGTGTGTCACAAAGAATATTTTCAACAGCCTGTTGCAGACCTTTATCAACAAATGTCTTCGCTCTATACTCAAGATCAGATGGCCGGAAAGAATCACCAACAAAAAACTATGGGAACTAACAAATCAGGAACCAACCGCTCAACAAATATGCAGGAGGAAGTGGGGATGGATTGGACACTCACTGAGGAGGCCGTTGGGTGACATCGCGCGTCCGGCCATAGCTCGAGTGGAACCCGAAAGGGAAGCGGCGAGTGGGACGTCAGTGCAAGGGTGACATGGAGGAGATCGTGTGAAGATGAGTTGAAACAGTATGGATTAACATGGATGCAAGTGAAAAGTACAGCAGAAGACAGAAGCAAGTGGAGGCGTGCAGTTGAAGCCCTGTGTTCCACTAGGAACCCAAGGGAACAATAATAATAATAATACATAGAACAGTCTCGTGGAATTTCCGTTTCAACAGTTTTATTGGCCTAGTGTATATCATTTAAAAGAGAGTATTATTCAATCCGTTTTCATTTGATGAAATTTGGAAGAAACAATTCTGCAAAAGACTTACTCAGTGTGAATTTAAAACATTCCCATATGTAGGCATCAAGGTATTATTATCAACATTTTCATTTATCCAATCACTAATTGAAGTGCATTACAATACTCTAAGTATCATTCAGTCTGTATATATTATCCCTAATAAGATACGGAAATCTCTAAAATTTTTAGAATTTTACAGTATTTAAGTGTGCTCTTCATGTATATATGTACACGTATATATATGTCATGAGGAAGTTTTGTTCTGATCTTTTAGAATGTGACATACTTCAAATTATGCTGAAAACTGCGGATAACAATAATTTTTTAAGCGAAGACTTTACACGGGTAAACTTATCACGAGTTTGTTTACCGTTTTAAGCACATTTAGGCGTAAATTATGATGTGAAAAATACACTATGATTGGAATTAATTATTCATCGATTATTAAAACCTGACAGTATATACAATAAATGAGAACATGTGGCGTTTAAAAGTGAAGAGAGATAATCAACGTGGAGTACTTGGTTGAAAATACTGAATGATTTGTTCGGAATAGAATGTGCTGCACTATTCACTTCTCAGTCGTGTTATGCTGGAGGTCATTTACCACCAAAATCTATAGATAATCAATCATCTACAGGGATATACTTATTCAGAGAATTCACTACTGGTTGATTTTAGTGATATCAGACTACTTCTATCAGTCACTCAGTAGTATATAGCAATATATATAAATATGCTAACTTTCTTGATTGCCATTTATGTTATCAAGCAGATGACATATTGTGATACTAATAATTTAGGTTACTAATGGAAATCGCGGTGAAATCTCGCCTTAGGATGTGTGAAAGGCAAATCGCGAATGAATCTGCATACTGGGAATTTGATTCATTAGTCTTTCCTTTCTTAAACACATCTAAGTTTAGATGGAAAACATCAGCTGTGGATTATACGTTGATATGGGTAATTTGATTTGCTACGACTTGAGTCTTGCCTGTAAATTAGTTTAGGTTTTTAACAATTTGCATATGAACGAAATGGACTATGGGTGTTGTCAATGGACGTGAACATTGAACGTTTGTTTATTGGAACTGGTAGCCATTGGTGGGCAACTCGAAGGCGCGAATGGTTCGATCGTGTGCAAATTCGAAGAAGACGGAAGAATACGAATAAAAGCTTGTATTAATCTTTACTTTAATTGCCAAACAATATAACCTCCTTCAACGAATACTGGTGTTTTGGAGTTAAAGTCGAGAAGATACATACTAACTATCGGTTCGGAGCGTCTTCGTTACAATAGGAACTTAAGGCTAAGTTCCTTAACAGGTGTAATAACCAGTTTGACATTGTGGGCCAATTTAATGAGAGGTGCATTTTCTCACAGGTACTACTACATCTGCTAACAATTAATTGAGATCTATTTCTGCCTGTTAAGTTAAAAATAGGTATTTGAAAAAGAAACTCATCGGTCAAGCGATGAAAATTCCCTTCACTGGTGAAGTAACATTCCTTAAGAGGTATCCATGTGAAAATAGGTGTTCAAAGAATGCATCATATTAAAGAAAAGTTTTCAAGGTCAACAAAATTCCAGCTTCACTTCAATCAGCTTTCAAACAATATGGGTGATCAAAGAACAAAGACATTCCACTGGCAGGACGTTTACTTCCAATTAATTTATTCGTGTCTGTGGCACTAGTTCTGCTTTCTCTCACTTGAAATAGGTAGGTACTCATTTGAAGTCATCCGCAACTGCATTTATATAATCTTATGTACTTTACAAAGTGGTTTAGGTCAAGAAAACAGATGTATAAGCAATCAACCTTTTGTTTGAAGATACTTCGAAAAGCGAAACATTCGAATTCCCAGTCGCTTATATGTGTATCTGCGCGACACTGAGTAGATTTAAGTCTCAAGTTGCATGTGTAAACTTGGCTTTTAAACTGTTAAAATACATAAGTATCAAAGTATACTTCAGTCCATCCTGAATATATTAGAGAGAATTTTAGTGAGTACGACTTTTTTATGTCGACAATTATCTGAACTATTGTTTTCCTGACTCAGTGATACATCCCATTGGAATTAGCTAAAGTTTATGTATGGCTTTATGTATACTCTTACGCAGCATTCTTCTGTTTTGCAGGAAGTATCCACTTTTGTTGTGTAGAAGTTCCTGAGAAATCTCAAATGGTCTCTGTAGTTTTTATCAACATTTTGTTATCTAATTCTGTGTTGTAGTTATGTCATCTCTTCACTTCTAGCTGCTCCTATTGAGAAATTTGGTGTGCTGAAAAGGAGCCATGAAATAAGTTGACATTTTTACACAGCGGGCATAGTCCCATTTTGTCTTGACAGTTTGGTTACTTTGTTATGTTAATGAATTTAACAATTTCTTAGAGTTTCGTGGACATGATATCTCCGGTGATTACGAACCTGTTTCACTCAGTATGTGATAAGATTATCAAATAGGGTCTTAGTTTGAGAGAATGATGTAAAACTAGTGGCGTATTTCTACTACACTTTTAGTTGTTTATAGGACTATTCGAAACTAAGCAGTAATGGATGAGCTAATTACTGGTTTTATGACCCTTCAGCAGTGTTTACGAAGCTCATATCAAACCAGTGAAAGATATTCTTAGGGATTTTTTAAATTCCTTTACATTCCCAGTGGAACATAGGGCTTCAGACTAGAGCTTTGAAGTTTCAGTGGCACTGGGATTTATTTTTACAGGATGGGGTTGCCAGTCTCAACCCCAACCTTCCCTCTTTACCAGTCTTTTTTACTGGCTTAGCTAAGTTAATGAGGAGTGCATTGGTGGGGATCGAATCCTGAACCATATACGTGGTTGTCGAGCATTCTACCACTGTGACACTGACTCACTATACTTAGGGATGAATTAACGAAATAGTATGGTAAGTAAATAGCGTACGATGACGACGATGCTACAGTATAACAACTAATTCTTGAAAGTTATAATTGTAAAATCATACAAACGGATTCTTCACTTTTATATCACTTCCCTAATGCTTCGTGATGGTTAAAAAGGATAATAACGAAGCGCTCGATCAGGTGCAAAGGCTATTTGGGTATTTGAAACATTTAAGAACCAGAAAGATACTTACCATAACTAACGGAATCTATGCAATTGAATGAACCAGCTCGAGTTATTTTAGTATCTGAATAAAGGTTAAATAAAAAAATAGAACTTTTAATAAATAAATGCAAACTAAATATAGTCATGGTCGGAGTACTATTACTTATGTAAGTGGAGCTTCGAAATTTATAGAATTTAGTTCAGTATTACTTCAAGTAATAGAATGCTGTTCGTTAATTAGATCATATGGCGACCTCAGTCTATTATCGGACGGAAGTGAAAGTGGATAAAATCAATGTATAAACCCAGTTGATGACTCTGGTCTATAACTCCTTGTAGGTGTTTGGGGATGTTTCGATGCATAACTTTCGAAGTTATGCAGAAATTGCGATTGATTTAAATCCCGCTTTCTATTTCTTTCCTCTTTTCTTTTATGGCTTTTAACAGTCATGATGACATTATCACTTATTTATCCTTCCACACATTACTTTAGAGGGCTATTCACTAGTGAAGGGTCCTATGTTGATAATGTGTTCGCCTCTTAAAAACGGTGATATTGAAAGAATTTCACATCGACTAATTGGTAATATTTAAATTTTCTGTATATTCAGTAACTTCACTGATATTTATTGAATTTTAGTAATCAATTTCGTTTAGTAAAAGTAGACAAAATTTAAAAACAACAAATTTTTTATTTCATCTAATCATCCGGTCAGTTGTACACAGATGATACCCTTTTTTCAGCTGACAGACTCAATTTAATAGGTGTTAAGTATGTTCTACGTTTAAAATAAGCCTATTTGTCATTTGGATACAGCTATAATGACAAGTAAGTCGACTTCAACTGCTTATTTGATGTGCGTGGCTATTTTCATGTATGCATTATCCTTTTAGTTCGCCAGTGGTTTAATCCACCCGGCGTAGCTCACACAGTTTTTTCTGGGTTCTGTTTAGTTGGGTGAGCCACCAACAGTGAACAAAAACGAGACAGTACTACAGTACTTTTATCATTCAAAACTTCTCCAGTAGGCCTCAGGTTTAAAGAAGCGTGACGTAAAAATGTTTTTTTTCTTTGTCAACTTATCTGAAGCTATGCCAAGCGAAATGTTTCCTACTTCACTTGTGAGCAGTCTAGTCTGGTTCTCACTGCAGAGTAGGGACTAAGTTCAGTCCTCAAAAGCTTCAGTAATCCTGGCCAAGCTACTTAAACAAAGTCTTCTACCAAGCAGTGTTTATAAAATTGGTGGGAATAGTTTAAAGTGAGATTGGGTTCACCATTTAGACATTGTCGAGGCGTTCATGATCTATCAGATAAAATCCTAGGTATGCCTTATAGGATATTATAGTCTGTTCAATTTTGCATCAGTCAAGTTGTTGGTGGTATGGTTTCAGCCACGGACGGAACGGATGAGGAAGTCAAGACCAGGATCAGGAAGGAAAAGTAGACCTTCATTACTCTGAAATGAATTTGGAAATCCGCTGCAATCACCATAAGGAACAATATTCGGATTTTCAGTACTAATGCTAAGTTACTTCTTCTATATGTTTCAGAAAATTGGTGCCTCACAAAAAGCATTTTCAACATGCTACATACTTTTGTAAACAGATGCCTTTTCTGGCTCCTTAGTGAAGATCAGATGCTCGGTCAGAAAGAATAAAAAACATGAAACTCTGGCAGGAGACAAATTAACCAAGAACTTATTGGCCCTCAAATAGAACTTGAATGGGAAACGGCGAGTCAGACGTACATCTGAGGGTGACAATGATTTAATGAAGAGGAAGCGAAACCTTATGGGTAAATTTAGAGCCATTTAAAGAGGACTGTGGTGAAAAGAATGAAATAAAGATGCGCTTTTGAAGCCATATGTTACACTTGGAACGCAGTGGGAACAATAACAGTAGGCTGTTATCAACTTACATCACAAGATGACATTAGTTAGGGAATTTCTCAAAACCAGAGAGTACTGGTCAGCTGTTACGTCCTAGCCCGGGACTCTTAGGTAGTACAACCCCATTTCATCACTGGGGATTCGTAGGGAATCCGATAAGTCATATAAGGCAGAAATTGAATGCTTTTACTCAGCGAATAAGTTCTCAACATGCAAATTACATTATCCATGGTTGACTTCTGAATTATAACCGTGATAACTAATCAGTTACTCTTTGGTAAGCTATCGTTTCTTGGCTAGGCAGATCCGAGGTACACAGCAACAAAGAATAATTAACACATATGCTATTAGAATTAGAAGCATATCTGTATCCTCTTTCAATTAAGTGAATCAACTAGCTGCACTCTGTTCTATTTTTGTTCTGTTCTCTTTACGGAATGAAAGTTTATCATTCAGTCGAGTTGGACGGTTGGGTCAGTTTCAGTTTTATTACTTTGAGTAAGGGTAGGACGTTTCATTTTTGTTGTCACACGTGGCTGATCAATAAATACTGAGGTACTTCATATGTTCAATTAATCTCAGTATAGTTCAGGTAGCGAGTAGACATCATTTGGAGAGGCAATGCTTCCTGGTTGGTTTTCAATGATTCTCTATCTGATATCATTTCATGTGAAATTGATGAGTGAGAAATGGAATATAAGAATAGCCTAAGAGGAAGACATCTGTTTATCGAAGTATACTTGGACAAAATATAATTTAGAAAAAGAAATTTACTTTGTTTTGGCACAGGGTACTCATAAAATGAGTTCGGGCGTCCTCGTAATGAGATGTCCTCTGTTAATAAAATAAAACATAAAATACTGAGTCAGACTGCATTATCCTCAATTACTTAACGTGTTCAACTGCGCATTCATCACAGATGTAGACGCAAACATAGAAGATAAGCGTATAGGTATTTTCTGTCTTTTAGTTCCACCTGCCCATATTTAAACAGTGTAATTAGCTTCAACTAGAAGTATACTGATTTGTATTATTGTTAAAAAATGTAATGAATGTCATAATGTGGTGTTCCTGCACTGTCGTGTAGCTTAATAAAGTTGGAGTGAATAGTTTTTTTTCCTTCACGTTCCCCAGTGGAACATAGGGCTTCGAGCTAGTGGCCTGAAGTTTCTGTAGCAGGTTTTATTTTATAGGATGGGGTTACTAGCCTTATGCCCAACCTTTCCTCTTGACCAGCATTATTTCTGGCTCAGCGAGGTAAAGGAGTGCGTCGGCCGGGGGTCGGACCCCTTACCATGTGCATGGTAGGGAGCGTCCTAACCGCTATGCCACCGACGCGGGGTTATTAGTACAAACAACGAAAATTGTACTGCCTATATAGTTGAAACCATTATTAAATCATAAACCTGCTATCTGATTTACTTGAAAATCTTCTGATTATTTAAATGATTAAGTGTGAAGTTAGAGGGTTTTCAGATGGTAATAGCAGGTAGGAATAAGTCGATAGGCGCTTGGTTCTCCTTACAAAGGAAAAATAAATAAAAAATCTTTTCATTCACAATAGACATCTGAATACCTTAGGATCAGTGATGAGAAAATGCTTAGAATCAAAGGACTAGACACATCACACTAGTTACTAGTGTCCAATCAAAGTATCCAATACACTCCTACAAGAGACCAATCACCAGGCCGAACAGCTCAGTGATAAGGTCTCTGACTGCAGCACTACGTGACGCGAGTTCGAATATCGAAAGGGACGTGAGTTCCTTCAAGGTTGCAGATACGCCTTGCTGACTGATGAGTGCCAACTAGCACGAAACCTAGTTCAGACTAGGCTTCCTGCCGATTGCCTCCAACCATCTAATATCATCAAATCAATGTGCACCATGATGACAAACTACCTAGAATGATGGCCACATTTCAAACCTGACTAAGAAAGTTCATTTTGCACCAAAGAAAGGACTAGATACATCACACTAGTTATTAGTGTCCAATTAAGATGTTTGGAACCAATTAAGGATTTCAAGTTATACTACTAAGTAGTAGTATAACTTTGTGCCACAAATTTAACAAATTATCCTTCGTAAGACACTTTTAGTGCGTTTGTTGAAGATTCAGAGCACACAAAGTGAAATTGAGATGAATTCATCCTATAGTTTTACTTTACAAATGAATCCTCTATTTTTATGCAGAAAAAAGACGAAATTTTCAGTGTAAAATGATATCATTCTATTTCACATGTTTTCATCAACTGCAAATTACCTGAAATTATAATGGTTTTACAAATCAAAGAAAATGATTCCAACTCACTGAGCAAATTTCAGTCTTATGAATTGTAATCTTTTTCAGTTGCCACGTGAACTTATATGCTAACACTTTCCATTAGATTTTGCTGTTTTCTGTATTCTGCTTTTCTACTTTAAAAGCGTATAAAAAGAGATGGTGACCTAAACTAAAAATTGTAGTGTGATTACATTTCGGATGTGCTAATTTGATAACATTTTAATTTATTACCATTCAAACATCGAAGTATGTTATTTCCACCTTTGTTACTTTTATACTCGCCGTAATTTCAGGTAGCTTGCAGTTGATGAGAAACTGTGAAAAAGAATGATATCGTTTTGTGCTGCAGATTTTAGTCTTTGTTGTGTTTTGAAAATGTATAAAGGGAATCAAGTGTATGGAATCTCTTATTCTCTTAATTTAATCTTGGTTGTTCACTTATACACTGAGACAAACACACATACATAGACAATCTTCTACCCCTTTATCTCACCTCTCAGATTTTTCATCTTAGTAATTCAATGTTGTTAAAAGACACTAGTGTTTTCAATAACAATTATTCCTTAAGTAGTATGAATGTATAACCATAGAAACTGAAGAATTTAAAGAAAATAATATTATTTGTTCAGTAAACAGTACGTAATTTCCTTCATAGATTACTCTTATGAATATGGTTTTTAGTTATAGTTGTGATATGTGATAATAATCTCGTAGAAAACCTATTTGTTTTTGCCGATAATCTGAATAACAATCACCAGCTCATTGATGATTACTGAATGGATTTCGTGAAGCTGCAGTAGGAAATCGTGACCAGTCGGATTCACCATATCAAAGTGAAGTAGATGTTCAAAGAAGGCATTGATGAGGGTATCGTTATATCACAAGTTGACTCAAAGTTAGAATTCATGGGTCACTGAATTCCAGCCAAAGTAATCCAATAATAAACGAGCTTGGTCTTGGAGCCTGAATGGTCCCGGGTTCGATCTCTTGCCAGGTCGTGGGTGCATACTTTTGAGTAGCCCCGAAATGGGACGAAACAGCTCTCCAGTGCTCCCTAGTTTTCAGTGACCTCTCTAACTGATGTTGGTTCTAGGCGAAAACCTAACGATTGAAAATTGTCTACGAGTTAAGTGGTGCATAATGTAGAAATTACTACTAAGGATATGGGTTTGTATGTTAGTTAACTGTGCATTATACAGAGAAGGTTAACGAATGCAGTGATAAGCATAATTTGCGAATCATCAAACGACAGGTCGTCAAATAAACAATTTTCAAGTATTGATTTTGTAGGGATTTTGTTTGATTGGTTTGAGGATTTCATCATAAGCTGACATCAGTTAGGGAATCACCAAAATACCTGGGTGTACTGGACAGCTGTTCCGCCGTCCTAGTTTGAAAATCTTCATCAGTACGCATCCACCCCAGGGTTTCGAACCCAGGACCTTCTGGTTACAAGGTGACCTCGCAGACCATTGAGCCATTGGTACCCGATCCAATGACCCATACATTCTAACTTCTGCCAGTGGCTCAATGGTCTACGAGCTCACCTTGTAACCAGAAGTTGATGGGTTCGAGCCCCGGTGCGTGCGTACTACTGAAGTGTCTAAAACTAGGATGAATCAGCTGTCCAGTAGTCCCAGGTTTTCTGGAGATTCTCTAACTGATGTCAGCTAATGATGAAATCTGCCATCCAATCAAATAAACAATTTACTAATAAAATCACATTGATATATGTGACACAAATTTCACTCTCTATCTAACTGACGAATAATGTCCGCACTTGAGTGTTTCAGTGGTGCTGTCCAACCACACACTTGGTCGTGATTCAAATTCCTTCTGAGGGACTCTTAAACTTCGCTTAGGTGGTAGTATAATAGGTAAAAAAAAGAGAAGGTTGGGCATAAGGCCAGCAACTCTACCATGAAAAGAAAACACCACCGACAGATAAATTTCAAAACTCGGACTTAAAGCTCTGTGTTCCACTAGCATAGGAAAGGAATAAAAATGATTTAAACTACAAGTACAAATGTTCTTATTGTATTATCTTCGTTCTAGTGATATCAAACGGCATAAGGATGAATAAAGTTTCAGTTGATAATTTGTTTTTAATCAATTCTTACTCTACTGTTTGGAGAATCCTATATAATCCATTGAGTCTGATTTACATCTGACTATTTAAAGTCTATTTCAGACTGGAAATTAGAACTAAGTGTGGCTGTCACAGTACACTGGTAAATACTCAACACACCAACAGAGCTGTCATTCTCACCAAGGTCTTTAATTGTTTCCAAGCTCTTAGTAGTATATGTTTTGTGTTGTGCTGCAATAATATTAGTTAAATTCCGTTTCATTGCTCTAGATATGCTAACTTTGCCTAACAGATCGTGTCTTCTCTTTATTGGTCACACAAAAATGTTAAATTTAGGTATAAAGACGCTCTAACGTGTAGGGATCCTGGAAAATATTAGAATCTTGGTATGGAGTCTACCACACTCCATGTATTTCAATGCATTAAGTCAGCATCTTGATATAACTGTCTTCTCTGGGTTAAATAGTTTAATTGTGAAGATTTTACCGTCTTTCTAGACAACATCTTCAGGGCACACACTCTAATATAAAGTGGTCTTCTTTGCCTGTAAAAACAGTGAAAGCTTCACAATTACACCACCCCGACTTATAGAATACAAGTACATTGAAATCGTTCGCATGAGCTATAGATCACCTTCATTCTTTCATAGTCATTATTTGAAACACCTAGGGAAATCCTAAAGTTATTTATCGATGAAAATTGTTGACTGACTTTATTTAAGATTATGCAAAACAACCTTTATATTTACAATGAATGTTAACTGTTAACCTTAAACTTTATCTGATATATTCTATATCAGTACGTAACACCTCGTTTTGTTTTTTTCCAGGTAAAATAATCTGACCAGGATAGAAGTAAAATGTGAGATTTCAGAGGTAATTATGCAAAAAAACTATACATTTAAAACTTATTTTCTCTGTCAGATTTTCATGTGAAGAAGGGTGGACTGTGACGCCTAAACTAAAGTTGAAATATATGTGAACGAAAATCTAAACTTAGAAAGCAGCAAAATCCTTAAATAGCAATCTACAGGGCAGCATGAGGATGCATATATATGTATAATTCCTTAGTTAAACAAACAAAATTCGCCATAATACCCCCTGGAACATGAAATTTTAATGCAGTAGTTTCGTGAACAGCAGAGATTGAAGTCCATCTACAATTTCTATGATTAATCACAAAATATCTGAGGTCCTGAATAGTTTTTCACGGCTAGTCACATCTGGGTGGTCGTTTTAGCCAGTAAAACTGTCATTTAAACATTTCACTGATTGTGTTTCTGATTAGTGTGAAAAATCTGACATTTTAACAGCAGATTCCCACGCATACGTTTAAAATATCATCAAATGTATCGTAATGGATGAATAGTAGTATACTCAGTAATTTTGAAATATTCGGTAGAGTCTATTATCAAATACTTATAATATTAGTTAAGTGGTATGGCTGTACAAGACCTCATAAACAATGTACTTTACAAAATTCTGAATATTCGTCACACTCTCAACTTTAATATGACTGAAAATTTGTCACTTATGATAAAAAACGTCAGTACACTTTGGTTTATCGTCTGACAATAAATAGTGAACTATATTCAGTGATAAAGTCTAAGAGGTAGCTTCCAACAGTCTCATTAACTTTGGTAAACACTTTGAACTCATTTTTTAACATCATATAAAGTCAGTTCATTTGGCTTTGTTCTCCAAAAGATATAGTTTATCAGGCGTTAAAAATAAAATAAGTTCAATCAGAACATGTAATATATCTTAATATACGCATATTTGCTTTAAAAGAGTGTCAGTCTAATAAATTATTAGATCTATAAAGTAAAGATCCCAATTTATACAGAATGCTTACAGATGTATCCCATTAACTGACTCTGTTTCCAACAGGCAGCTGACTTTGCTGGCTTCTATTGCTCAGCTAAAATGCCGATAGAAGATGAAGATGCATCAAACGCACACTGAAGGTACCGTTGGGTGACACTGCACCAGGGCCTCTGGTGGTACCAAAAGGGAAACGACGAGTTGGGCATGGATTCTGCGGTGATATGGAAGAGATGAGGGCTTATGACAAGGTGAAGATATGCTGGTGAAACTCCATGTTCCACTCAGAACCCAAGGGAATTATAATGGTGTGCTATTTTGTACACACCTGACTGATATGATATAGAAGATTTGTAGCTCAGGTGGATGATTTTGATGTGGTTGTGTTCTCTGAGCTGGATAGTAAATTGGCGAAGCTTTCATCACCCTACTAGGTGACATCTTCAGCGCATACTTCAATTTGAAGTGAGCTTCTAGATTTCTCCACGAGTTTATTAATCATCTCTCCTGGTGGCCTTGAACGTCGTGATTGGTTGTTTTTGTGTGTTTTCACACCTTCTAGGTTACTTGGATTGTCACTCATTGTTTCTTTGACTTGAACTTTGACCCTTTGTGTGTGACGTTTCTTTCTTATCGGTTGATAAATTTTGTCAATCTCAATGTGTCTATTGATTGATGATTCACTGGAATGCCAAGCTTCTAAAAATTCTCCAGCATTTCGCAGTTGATACTGCGAAAAACACTACATTGGCCAAAGTGGACATCCCCTTCATCTTCGTATCCACGAACATAAGCTAGCTGTCAAAAGACATGATATCCACTCCCTCATGTCACTACATATAGACAACCACGGGCATCAATTCGACTGGGACAACGTTCAAATATTAGACAGAGGAAACGACAAGAATGCTAGAGAATTTTTAGAAGCTTGGCATTCCAGTGAATCATCAATCAATGGACACATCGAAATAGACAAAATTTATCAACCGATAAGAAAGAAACCCCACACACAAAGGATCGAAGTTCAAGTCAAAGAAACAATGAGTGACAATGCAAGCAACCTAGAAGGTGTGAAAACACACAAAAACAACCAATCACGACGTTCAAGGCCACCAGGAGAGATGATTAATAAACTCGTGGAGAAATCTAGAAGCTCACTTCAAATTGAAGTATGCGCTGAAGATGTCACCTAGTAGGGTGATGAAAGCTTCGCCAATTTACTATCCAGCTCAGAGAACACAACCACATCAGAAACATCTGACTGAATTTGTGAAAATACTTCGTCATAGCAGCATACAACTGACGGATAAATCTTGTGCGATTATTATCATAGAATGCAGTTACTCTAAGTTAACTACAAGTGCGTATATTTTCTGTTCCAAGTGTAACAAACAATGATAATTCTAAGAGTCTCAATGAAATTAATCAGAATGTTGTATAAAATAATTATTTAATTATCAGATCGTAGATCTTACAATTCCTGTTTTTCTTTCCTATCAATGACGTCATTCAAATCCTTTTTATTTATTTGTTAAGTGGACAAACAGTTAATGGCGGTACATTGACAGCAGGATATTATTTAGTCGTCATTGCATATTAATTATTAATGATACTGCTTAATAACAATGACACCATTAAAAAAACAAGACTATAGTGCCTGCATAATACATACAGTTAATGTTTCCAACTGTTCTTTGATGAAAGGCTGTTTAACAAGCGAAACCTGGTTTATATAATTTCCAAGATGTATATTTAGATATTTTTTTAAATATCTGTAGTTCAGTTTACAAATCAGAGGATAGAAAATCAAACTCCATCTTCCGTTTCACCAGCAGCTGAACAAACAACGCGGTTCTACGAACTAAATTTACAGGATCTTCAAAGATCAGTCATTTTCTCAACAAGCACAACACAATGTTGAATAAAAGTATTTTTTCTATGAAAGACAACCCAACATAACACACAAAGGCTGCAAAAAGCTATTGGAAGATGATTTTACGAAGTGTTCAGACTTGAATCTTTAACTTCAGACAGACCGTTGGTCGATTACTGTGAGTATCCACAATCAGATGGACATATCGATGAGAACATTGCACAAAATATTGGATAAATGGATGCCTTTGTTGTAGGAGAAAGTCTATTCAGGTACAAATTCTCATTTCAGGCGGTTAATGGCTTAAAGTGGCAATGCAGTTTGTCATAAGACAATACAGATTCTCATGCATGTTGTAAGTGCATGATAATACGGTATCGTCATTTCGTGACAAAAATGTTTAACCGGTATTAAAAAATCTTGGAAAATTTAGTATTTGGATGAATTTTCTATTAACAAATATTTGGATATAGAAGCTATGTACAATCTGTTTATAAATAAGGCTACATGTTTCCAATCAACGAAAGACAATCGAGTCTACTCATAGCAAAGGAGAAATTTTTTACTTTGGGACACATCTTGTTATGGTAGTGCAACATAGTGCACAAGATCGGTAAGGTCGATTTCCCGAAAATCGCCTCACTTATGACCACATTAACTTAGCGGACGAGAAAACTTCCCTCCAATTAATAAAATACTACAGATAACTCCGCCATGTCTTTTACTGAAGTATTTCCGATAATATATCAGAGTCAGTGGCATGCTAAATGATTCGGTCGTGGTGAATAATTAATCAAATTCTGTGTTAAAGGCGGTGGTTAGAAATACCTGAAATGATGAATGAATATATTAGGAAGTAGGACACGGGATGTTACACGTAAATGATAGGTGACTACGAAAATCTCTGAAGAAAGCCAATTACACCAAAGGTCATTGGGATAGACTCTTATGCTATTTATGAAGGACTACTGCAGCTCATTTCTTAAAAGATGACAGTTAAATCTTTGCAATTAAACCATCAATCTCAAAGAACAAACCAACGAAAAAAACATTTACACACTCTACAAGTCTTCCCCATCATTTCACGGTTAATCTTAGCTATCTTAACAATCAGATTCATTTTGTATGACATCCTTTCTATATATGACAAAATTATGAAATTATTTCTTAATTTTGTCCTCATTACCAGTCACATTTGCATACGTTCTCCCCCCCCGCGCATGTCCTTGATACTACCTGTAGAGGTTCTGAAGGATATTCACTGAGCATTAGCATGCGCCTAAATCCTTTGATTTGTTAATTAAACTGTCAACTAAATGAATTCAACAGCTTAACTAAACCGCCTTAACCCGGATGACCCCTACATTTTGACGTCGTTTGAAATGTACTCATTTTTTTGTAAATACTAACATTTAGATCATCATCAAATCTAGCTTTTCATTTCATTTCTTAATAACTAGTCGATATTTCATTATAAAAACATTGGTTGCAAAACTTTAACAAATTAAATGAAAAAGAAACATATTGAGAAAGTTTGAGAATCATTCAAGTAACCAATCTATCAATCAAATTTAATTAGTTTACAAATATGTCAAAAGTTAAAACAGTAAATCATCTCACCTTCTGTATCTGTTATTGTATCACTTAGATTGATGTTACTGTAAGCTTTTCTGTCTGATTGTTCGGCTAAAGAAAGAAAACATTTATAGGGAGGAAAACTGGTGGTAACATTAAATAGTATTTTGGGAGAAAATTACATTTCTTTTCTAGAATAGGCTGTAGATTTCAATTTACCTGTAAAGTTTACATTTTAGTCTGTTTATCTTACTGTATCAATATATTTGTCACGTGTAGGACACTTCTTTCTCTAGGTAAGATTAAAGTAACAAGTAGATGTTCAGTGAAGAATTTAGATCCATAGGATTTCCAATTTAGTAACAAAGAAATGTTTGTATGATTCAAAGGTACTTCCATGTAGAATAGTGCCAATAAACTTAACATTAGAGTACTTTCTGAGGCTTTTGTATTACGGGCTCACTTACTGTTATTATTATTCCCTTGGGTTCCGAGTGGAATATGGGTCTTCAACAACACATCCCCACATTGTTGTATTTTCTGCCGTCCCCTTCAGCTCGGTCCACGATTCCCCATAATCTCTCATCTCCTCTTCACACGATCTCATCCATGTTACCCTCGCACCGATGACCCACTCGTCGCTTTCTATTCGGATTCTACTCGAGCAACGGCATGCATTGTGTGCAATGTCATTCGACGGCCTCCACAGCGTATGCCCGATCAGTCCATCTTCGCTTTCTCCTGCATATTTTTTGAGAAATCAGCTTTTGGTTGATTTGTTCCACTGTAGAGTTTGTTGTTGCTAATTCTTTTTGGCCATTTGATCTTCAATATTGAGCCTGCGAAGGTTCCAGCTGTTGATGAAAGTCAGCAACCTGTTAGAAATCCTTTTCATGACACTCTGGACAGATTGCTGACCCATATAGAAGGACTGAATTCACATTGATGTTGGAAATCCGAATCTTGTTGTTTATGCTGGCTGATTGCAGAAGATTTCCAAACTGCTTTCAGGTTGATGAAGGAGTACTTCAGACAGAACTCTACCTAATTACCATGAAACTTACTGCCATCATGCATTAGTTTTAGCAATCAAATATTTGAACTCAAAATTATATTAAATCATAATCGAAAAATCCGGAAAAACAAGATTAACTGCTCTCAATAAATCCAGAAATACTTAAATTAAAAAGTTCAACAAATTAATGCAACACCACTAACGACAGATAGAACAAAGGGTATCATCAACCTGTCAACAAGAGCATTAAATTCTAATGAAGTATACATATTAGAAAAAGGATTATATTTCAATGTAGCTGTTGACAGATTAAAAGCCGAGGACGTTATTCCTAGTGTGAAAGTAGCACTAAGTGTAGTAGACAAGACAAATTCTGAGCAATTCAAAGTAAAGTGTAGATTGACACTGAAAAATCAGAATAAAGCTGAAAAGAATTTACCACAATAAGAAATACCAGCTGTAAAGTGTTTGAGGAATGACAAGAACGTGGCAATTACCATATCAGAAAAAGGGAATTCAGTAGTATGTATAGACAGATTAGAATATATCAACAAGGTTATTGAGCATATTTAAACAGCTCAATATCCCGAAATTAAGAAACCTGTAAGTATCGCTTTGTTGGTGACGAATATGACTACTACTTTCTGTTATTGTATTATCTGTCCAAAGTCAGCATTACGAAGTGGTTTCTTCTGCTCATAGTGAACACGCCTCAATTATCCGACTAGTTTTTTGATCTGTTGCATTTGTGGAAAAATCCTGTGAATTCCTCAAAGCTGAATATAGTAAAGACTGTTTTATCCACTAATTCAAGTGATGTGAAACGAAACTGTTTAGATCTATTAAAACGTTAAGCGTTACCATGCCAACTGTTTAAAGTCTCTGCCTACACCGCTGATGATTTCAGACAGACCGGTATTTTAAAATATAATCATTGACTAAGTCTGCATTAGGATATAACAGTGTTCTCCATTTCTCTCCTGCATCAGCAAGTCTGGTGTCAAGTGTCAGCATAGTCACCAATAAACCGTTTGAATTTCGCTGTGATTTTCAAGTCTACACCACAGTTGTTCTCATTTTATTAATAGCGATGAGATTTTTATAACATTTGAATTAATTCACTGTACCACTTACCAAGATTTCCATAAGCTTTCCTTGCACTGGGTGGTAAACCAAAGTCGAACAACTTAACGGTGTTATTTTCATTACCGTTTTGACCCCCCGAATTGAATTCTGTAAGGATATGAAGTTCAGGTAATATAATTAGTTAAACGGTAAGATGAGAAATAAACATTTGGAGGCAGGTTATATGAATTAATATTCAATTAATTGAAAGAGACTTAGATTTCTTCCAACGTTAACTTGAAGTACTAACATATTAAGACTTTATAAGTTCTAATTTCATGTGACACTGTAACAGTTTTTAAAAAAAGCTAATGGAGAGTGTGAATCCTTATACAAAGCCATCAAGCTTATATTTATCATGCTCAATGTATTCTTATTGTTATCCCGGCCACAATTCATTAATGTTGTTTAAAACATTCACTTAATGTACTATTAGTGATATTTTGCATTCTCAATATATTAACAGAGGATTGTATTTAACATAAATAGCGTCGGTGATTCAGTAGTAGAATGCTTGCTGACTAAGTAGTAATCCGGGGTTTGGTCTCTGGCTAACGCACTTCTTAACCTCGCTGAGCCGGTAGTAAGCCCTCTAGAGGAGGAAGTTTGGGAATGTGGCTAGCAGCCCCACCCCATTAAAAGAAAACCACTGCCACTGAAACTTTGAAGCTGAAGCCTGAAGCCCTATGTTCCACTCGTTACAAAGGGAATCATTCTGTGTTTATAGCTGAATAGCAGACGACATTTCAGTCTGATTCAGCAAAATCTGTCACTTGAGCGTATAGTATAAACATCTGACTAACTGAAATGACATTCGAGGGAACTTAAATGTGTGCTTTGTTCTCATAGTAAAAAGATCAGAATTCCTCTTACTTTGGCCTTTTATTCCCAAAGAATGTGTCTACAACCTTTAAGATATTTTCAGGACTCAATGTTGGCATCGAAAATTGCACGAATCAGATCTATCCTGTATACTGCTGGATTGAGTATGCAAACCAATCACAGGTTGGTAACTGATGTCAATATTTAGATTCAAATGGAAACCAAAATCTATCCACAATATGTAAAATGCAACTTCTACCTGGATTGAATTTCATTAACATTATTCAGTTAAAAGTGTGTCGGTGGCACAGCGGTTAGGACGCTCGCCGTCCATGCACATGGTCCGGGGTTCGATCCCCGGCCACCGACGCACTCCTTTACCTCGCTAAGCCAGAAATAATGCGGGTGAAAAGGAAAGGTTGGGCATGAGGCTAGCAACTCCATCCTGTAAAATAAACACTGCTACAGAAACTTCAAGCCTCTAGCCTGAAGCCCTTTGTTCCACTGAGGAACGTGAAGGAAAAAAAATTTAGTTAAAAAAGTCTGTTTGCTTTACTGCTACCGAGGACTTCGTAATAAAGTTATTGGTCTTAAAGAAATAAAATTACCAAAAAAGTACTTTCATATCTATTCAGAATGACCAGATTTTCACCTGGATTACAAAGCTGAAAACCATTATAGTTGGCGTCATTCATGATTAACATGAGGCTGTTGAATATGTACGTATGAACAGGACATTAACTATTGCTGACCAGTGATTGACTACACGGTGAATTTGCTTGAAATTCTAGGCAGACGTCAGGACCAACAGGGTTCACTAAGTCAGGTGTGAGGACAAATACTCATGGATAACATTGGTTGGCTGATGCGCTATGTACCGCAAATCGGGAAAATATTAGAATTTATGTGCCATTGAAATCGGTCTCAGTGGATGAATTCTGAATGAGCTCACCTGGTAACCTTAAAGTCCTGGGTCCAACCCCTGTCTGAGCCATATGTGAATAGTGGTGAAGAGTCTCAAACAAGGAATAAACAGCTATCCGGTACTCTGAAGTTTTTAGTATTTCTCTAACTGATATCACATCGTGATATAACTCAAAATCAATCAAATCCCTTTAAACCAAACACCTAAAAATTAACTTCTACTTGGTTCTAGAAAAACAATGAAAGTTTCGCAATTAAACCCCCTTGTTCAGAAAACAGAACCACATCAAAATCATCTACATGAGCCAAACATTTTCTCGATTATTTCAAATAAGAGTGTATTTAACTGTGCATTTGTACAGATGAGATATATTAGAGAAAAGAGAATGAATGGTAAAGTTTGGCTTGGTGCTTAACTCTCCTATCTCATTTTACTTTATTCTGTATTTGATTTAAACTGAATAACATCCATTCCAGCATAGAACAACCAAAGAAGCTCTTTGACTTGCTTTTCGTTATAATTGTTTCAAAAAAAGAAATAGAATATTTATTATTTATTTCATCTAAGTATTTGTGTTTAGTCAAAACAGAGGGTTTCTCAGGTAATCAATTTTTTTAATAAAATAATGAGATAATATCTCTTCTTCAATACATATACATCTACTCCATACTTTATTCTACTCACTGTTATTGCTATTAATATTATTATTATAATTATTGCCATTATCATTAATTTTATTCTTAACCGCTGTCTTGTATAATATTTTAGATATATATATATTCAGTTATCACGGAGTGTCTTTAAACGAACTTATACTATTGATAATAATATTATCATTTATACGAATATTATTACTAAAATTATTGACATCAATCCACAGGTAGTAACTTTTATTGGCATCCGATAGAGAACATATCTGAGTGTATATGTGCTGTTTAGCTGTGGTGTACACTTCGTTGCATGTGTGTGTGTGGGTATACGCACACGAGTGTGTGGATATAGATGTGCTCAAGAATATGAACGTCTACTCAACTGTTGATTCGTATATTAGATTTTCACCTAACTCACTTACTAAATGGCTTTTGAGACATAGAATACCAAATCGATTTTATATGTAATAATAATAATAATAGTGTAATTGCACCTAAATGTTTCTAAATTGTTTTGATGAAATGGAATATGAGTTTAATTTATTGATTAGTAAATAGTATGAATTGAATTTAAATAAATGTTTGACTTTCTTTTTTAGAGTTAAAATTTATTCTAAAGTTTTGGTTAGTTCAATTTTTTATTTATCCATAAAAAGAGGGTATAGTGTTACAGTCTATTGTATGAGAGACATGAACCTAACAGATTTACCAGACGGTATCATTGTGTTAATTTATCTAAAACCACTTTGATTGAACACACTAGTAACTAGTGTGATGTGTCTAGACCTTTGTTTACTGCATAGTGAATTCTATCAGTCAGGTTTGCAATGTGGCCACCATTCTAAGTAGCTCGCCATTACGGTCCACATTGATTTGATGATATTAGATGGTTGGATAGTAACGTCTCTGACTGCAGCACTGGATGACGCGGGTTCGAATCTCAGAAGGGACATGAGTCCCCTGAAGGTTGCAGATACGCCTTGCTGACTGATGAGTGCCAACTAGCACGAAACCTAGTTCAGGCAAGGCTTCCTGCGGATTACCTCCAACCATCTAATATTATCTAAAATTTATTTAGCTAATTACTGTATTTTGTCAAGTTCAAAGTGCGATGTTCATTATATGCCATTATGTTGCCCAACTGTATTTACACACAAAAGAAAATTTAATAAATAAATGCTCTATATATAACATTTACACTGAGATTTTCAAGGATGCATAAATAGTTTATATTTTAAAGTTCATCTTTGACTTCTCTTACAAAATATACTTTTTGTTCCGTTGACATAAGACCTTCGATCGAAATGTAAAAAAATATATAAATATCCTAGGTGGTAAACAGTTTAAAGTATGTTAAATGCTCAATGACTTCTTCATGAGTAAATCGAACAGATAAAAGCCATATGAATACAGTACACCGATATACCTTCATAAGAAATAGTGTATTATCATTTGTACTGCTATGTGAGTTAGTTCCAGCTCGTGAAATCATTTTTCTTCCTTCACGTTCCCCTGTGGAACATAGGGCTTCAAGCTTGTGGCTTGAAGTTTCTGTAGCAGTGTTTATTGTACAGGACTGGGTTGCTAGTCTCATGCCCAACCTTCCCTCTTTACCAGCATTATTTCTGGCTTAGCGAGGTAAAGGAGTGCGTCGGCTGGGGATCGAACCCCGGACCATGTGCATGGTCGGCAAGCGTGAAATCATACACATCACGAAAAGGCAGACTATTGATTTCGACACATAAAGAGCAAGAGAGAGAGAGAGAGTAAAGTATTTATCATAGAATGACTATTAACTATATGGATGATATACACCTGCATACAGTGTGAGTGAACGACTCAGTTTCTATTGGGACGTCAACAGATTTCTGGTAGATGTTGAGAAAAGGAACTGACTGGAATTTACTACAATGATGATGAAGTTAGAGTATCCTACTTTTCACATCCTATGCACTATCTACGTTCTGTACTGAATAATGGTGGTAATTGGTAATAATAGAGAATAAGTATAATTTACAGCACAATCTAGCTGTGAATGATTTGTCTTTGAAGTTAACTATACAAAAGGATTCTATTAAAATTCAATCAGCAGTTGGTGATCATTAATGAACTAGGTATGCACAGGGTGTACACACACAGTTATCAGTTAACCTATAATGTATCATCATGTGTTTTACACATTTTCTAAATAACTAGTGTAAAGTCATTCCGATTTGTAGAACAGTTGTGTAATTTTTTTTAAAAATGTCCATAAATATCTTCATTCTGAAGCTGATATGTGAATAGAATTTCCGCACTCTGGTAGAGTATGATCCCACCATAGAACAACTTGATAAAAACACAGTGATAGAGTATTATTTACTGATATGATATGATATTGTACTCATTTGTGCTCAAAACGTCATCACTGTGTGTTGTCTATCAAAGAGAATTATTCTATATTGGAATTAAACTTCATGTGGACGGTTTGTCCTAGTGAGCTTAGTTAGTCTTTTAATCGATAATCGAAATGTGAAGTAAACTACTGTCTATTTAACAGTTATAATAGATGGGGAATGGATGGAATTTTTAAAAGAGAAACCAGTTTCCACCATGTTGAAGATTATTTCTAAAGAATAAGAAACAAATAGCGGAGAAACAGACTGAAGGTTCAGTAGAACGCTTTAAGTAAGTGTGTCAACTATCCAGTTAAGATTATATTCACTCCAATG